CATACATTTTACAAAATGTAGCAACTGCGGTTTTCTTTCCGGTGTACTTGTTTTTCCAATGATTAAAATAAAATTTGTTATCACACTTGTTTACGTGTTTTGAACAACGCGGTGTATTGTTATCATGAGGCTTCATCCGGTTTGCTATCAAATGCACAATTTTAACATATTATTATTTAAAATATTTCTGTCTTAATATTTCAGTATATAATTCCGTTTTTGTGAATTTTGTATAAATAACTATAGTACAAATTTTTGGATATTAGTTTAAATCAAGATGCTGGTCTGTTTACATGTCTTATTGTTGCTCTCTGTATCTGTGTGTGCAGAGAATAGCACTCTGGCGTATGCTAGTTCTTTTCTTAAACGTTTCGGATATCTAAATACATCAAATAATGCTCTTTCTAGTATAGATATGGCCCTAGTTGCTTTTCAGGAAAAATACAATCTTCCTGTGACTGGAACATTAAATAATGATACTATAAATATGATGATGAATAAGCCTCGATGTTCTGTTGGCGACAATAACTATGCCATTCGTTCGAAGTGGAATAAAACGACTTTACGCTGGTATTTCCCTCAGGCTATTAGTAATCCTGATTATATAAATCTTGCTGCAGAAGCTTTCGCTAGATGGGAGACAATATCTAATTTAAAGTTTAAACAAGTAATAATACCTACCCCGAGGCCTGATATTACTATAACTGTGGTACCAAATACTCATAATTTTCGAGCAAGTTGTCAAGGAACCTCTAAATGTTCATTTAATTTCGATGGTCCTGGAAAAGTGTTGGCTCACGCATACTTTCCAAGCGCACACGCAGAGTGTACCGAAATTCATCTTGATGTTAGTGAACGATGGTATGTAGGAAATGGCAGCGCTCCCAATGGTGAAGTCAATTTTTTGGCTGTTCTAATGCATGAAATTGGCCATTCTCTCGGACTAGCACACAGTACTATTGATTCGTCTATTATGTATCCTTGGTATCAACAAGATGTACAACCTTTTGGTGATGATGATAAAAAGGCAATGAGTATTCTATATGGGCCAAAAACAACACCCTCTTACATACCACCAACAACACCAGTTCCGCACAACAAGAACCATATGTCGAAAACATCTACCATCAAACACAGGACCTCTTTGCCAACAACAACAACCACACCTGCCCTACAAAACATATTATGTCTAATTCCATATCCAGATTTCATGTTTTTAGCTACTTCTCCTCAGTTTCCAAATTATAGAATGTACGTTGGATATGGTCCATATATATGGAAATTTGATTTAAATGAGATGCGCCTTCCAAAACATCCCGAATTAATTACCGATTATCTCCCTAAAGAGCTGAGGTCTGCGCACGTTTCACATGTTTTTCAGAATTCCGAGGGACACTTAGTAACCATACGCAATAATCAGTATTACGCTGCATCTTTCCCCAATTTAAAAATTCAAAAACGTTTTATGTTTCCTTCTATACCTGCGAGAACCAAAATAAATGCATTATTTCAAACAAACAGCGGTCAAACGTATTTATTATACAATGATGATTCTTATATTGAATTTAATGAAGCTGGAGATGTCTTAAACCGTGGACCCATGAATTATCTCTTACCCGGACTACCGGATACAATAACATCAGCATTCCGCTATACTGATGGGTTTATTTACTTTTTTCAGAACAACACCTATTATAAGTACAGCGAATACACACGTAAAGTTGTAGCAGCAGGAACGTTTAGCTGGGAACTTTTTGGGATACCCTGCCCCAACGACGGGCTATTAAAACAATTAAAAACTTTGTTAAACAAAATTGTAAATATATACGAATAAAAAATGCTCCGTTTATGATGTTGTTGTTTTATTTAAATTCCATTACTCTATATGTATGTTGACTGATGTCTTGCGTCGAATGACACATCATTTCACGTGACATTTCACGTTCTGCGTCAAATGTCACGTCCTACGTCGAATGACACGTCAATTCACGTGACATTTCACGTCCTGCGTCGAATGTCACGTTCTGTGAAAAATGTCACGTCATTTCACGTTCTGCGTCAAATGTCACATAAATGTCATGTCCTGCGTCGAATGTCACATAAATGTCACGTCCTGCGTCGAATGTCACGTCAATTCACGTGTCATTGTACGTTCTATGTCAAATGTCACATAAATGTCACGTCCTGCGTCAAATGTCACGTCCTACGTCGAATGTCACATCATTTCACGTGACATTTCACGTCCTGCGTCGAATGTCACGTTCTGTGACAAATGTCACGTCCTGCGTCGAATGTCACGTGACATCCAACGCTTTGACACCTCATACGTCAAAATCCAATCAATAGCAACGAAGATACGTTTTAACGCCCATTTGGCAACGCCGCCATCTTTGTTTTTTGTCTCCCCGCCTTCTCCCCGTTCCAACGAGCCCTCGTACGTCACGATCGGACCAATGGAAACGAAGATACCTCATAATGACCTTTTGGCATGCTCCGATGCGCACGGCACATACCGCGTTCAACCCCATTTTTCATCCCCTTTCCAACGAGTCCTCGTACGCCCCGATCGGACCAATAGAAACGAAGATACCCCATAATGACCTTTTGGCATGCTCCGATGCGCACGGCACATACTGCATTCAACCCCATTTTTCATCCCCTTTCCAACGAGCCCTCGTACGTCATCCTACGTTCAGCCGTTTGGAACTTACGACCGGGGGTTGCGATTTTAGGGGTTGCAATTTAGGGGTTGTGCCAGATTCTGTGTACCCTATCTACTAATGTCTACAGTGAAGCGGTATTTAAAGAAGCGCACTCAGAATGAAAGGAATATTCATCAATGGAGAAGTTTTGAATAATTTGCGTTTTGCAGACGATACAGTAATAATGACGGATAACAACAATTATTTACAGAATGTAATGCAACGACTTAATGAAAGCTGTCACGAATACGTACTAAGGATGAATTTGAAAAAGAATAAATGCATGATCATGATTAAATCAGCAGATATACTGAGTGGAATGTGACTATACTGTAGCTCAGTATCTTTGTATTATACTGCTATGGTTATAATATTAGATTACATTTTATTATGTTATTAAATAGTCAATACCGAATCTTATGAAAATACTTAATGCTTTCTAGTACCCGTGGAAACAAGAGACACCAATATTTTACCGGCATATTAGGATTAGTAGTAACTCATGTTCACTGTACTCTTTAAATTTACAGGCCGACAGGGATGCCGTAAAATGGGCGGAGCTTGCACTGCGCAGAGTGAGAAAGTTTAAAATCAAAAAAGGATGCACATACCCGAACATTTACGCGTGAATTCACGTTGAATAATCACTGGCTAGATCTTAAAATGTTTGCAATGTTGTCAAGATGTGGATGATCACAGTAATATTGGGAATTTTTAGTATCGTACTACCTAACAAAATGATATTGTTCGGAAGCTATTTGCTTGTGGTAGATTATGCAATTTACTATTTTATTTGGCAGTAAGCCACAATTTAAGTTTGAAATTAAATTTATTTGACGACTTCCATTGTTTTTGTTGCTTGGTAAAAAAATTCTTCTAATAATTTAACTTATCTGACTCATTCATATTAAAAATTCAGCCATATATTATATCAACATTTTAAAGTATATGACTTTATTGATATTGCCAATATTTATGATAGGAAATTATTGATATTGCCAATATATATGATAGAAACAGTAAATTGCGAAAGAAATGATAAAGGAATGATTTTTTGGTTAGGTACAAATAACGTGTAGATAAACGAGTAAAAAAACATGGAAAAAAATGGAGAACAAGTATGTATTACTAAAAAGAATGAATAACACGGAAAAATGAAAATATCCCGGAAGATTGGAAAGTGTCACCAATAATACCCATATACCAAAAAGAAGATAGGAGAGAATGTAATAGCTACCAAGGATTGACGTTGATATGTACATGTATGAAACTCTTCGAAAAAATAATAAACAAACTATTAAGAATAATGTTAGAACACACACAGACGAGGGACAAAGTGGATTTAGAAGTTGTAGAAATATACAGGATCATATATATTTAATTTAAAACAGATAACACAAAAAGCGACAAAAGAGAAAAAGCCTTCAATAACGTACCAAGACAGAAACTACGGAAAATACCAAGAGAAAAAGGAATGAACAACAAGCTACTAAGAATATACAATGAGACCAACAATGACGTAATTAGAAATAATTCAATATCACATACGTTTACAATACAGCGAGGTTCAGACAGGGAGGAGCACTTTGTCCAACAGTATTTAGAATATATAAGGACATAATTATTAAGGATAAAAGAAATGATTAAGAAAATTATGCACAAAAAGTAATAAAAGAACTCTAAAAGGAGAAATGAATAGCAGAGTAGAGAAAACGCTATAATTGTATCTCACAATGTACAATTTATATGTAGCAAAAAAAATATATTTGATTTTTACTATACATATTAATAAATAATATAAATTAAAAAATTATCTTCTTACCTTTAAAATTTTTAATTTTAGCAGAGTTCTGAAAAGAACTTTTGTATAGAACAAGTACAACTAAAATAAAAAGAAACAATGCAACACTGTAAAAATATCGAACAGCTACCCGTAGAACGTCCGGCGCACGAATGCCTTTGCTTGAAGTGGCTCAACCCCTACTTTCAAATTTATATATGCGCGGTGACAACTTTATTTCACGAGAACCCTGTCTACCTGTAAATTCTACATATTTACTCAAAAAAAAAAACAATTATATGTGACAACATTGTACACATGCAGAATATTTTGTTAACTGCCCAAACGCTCGAGATTTCTTTTACGAAGTTGACCTCTGCTAATGTTAAATTTTACCAATTACTTTGAATAAACTGATTTTAAAATATTTTAGTACAGTAATAAACTATAGCAAAAAGAGCATTTTAGATTAATGGAGCTTTGCCTCCTTGTAAATCCAATGGAAAGTTATTTTATACCTATGTCCTTCATCACAAAGCACAAGTCCTATTTCACTCTTATGCAGAATATCAGCATGCATTCTGAAAGTCTCGTAGGAAATTATGAGAACAGGTATCGCTGTCCTTCCTTGACCCTGCATAAATTGTGTTAGTTTCTTTTTCGCATCTGATCCTCCATCCATGATTAATGAGCTCAAACGCCCTTTCAACCACTGCAAAATAATAACAAGAATCAATTCACTAATTTGACAAAGATATCTACAAACTATCACAATTTAAACAACATAAATGCATGTAAGAATAATAACTCTATGAAGAGTAAAACATACTGGAAGGAAATAAAAAATTGTCCAAATATAAATTATTTAGACAACAAATTTCAGAACTAGTATATGCTGGCCAGTCATATAATACGGATGAAGAAAAATGTAATGCTTTTGCAAAGTACCTTAAAGAGACCTACGAATTTAGCGAGGACAATAATTTTAATAGAGATATCTTATATGAGGTGAATAATTGGTTTGGAAATTTTTATGAAAACAATCATAATACGATTGTTTTCATCACTGTTCAGTTCATCACAGAAGATCACATTCTATCTTCTTCTTTTATAGTGTGTCTTAGACAATTTTTCCAAGATTCAGGTGTGATATTTTGTATGGCAGTAGCTAACAAGCACTTCACCTCCTCCATTTTGAAACTCAAGTTTTCTCTTGCCACTTGGTTTTTTATTTGAGCCTATATAAGCTCGATAGGGTTCAGCTCACAATGATAAGGAGGGAGGCGATGTACAATTATGTTTTTTGCACAAGCCATTTCATTGACTGAATATTTCTTGAAAACAGGTATATGTATCATCGCGAGGTTTAATAATTGTACTTTCAACATGTTGTAATCGAATGGTATATTTTTTTGAGAGAGCCAGTTGATTATTTCACCAGGCAGTCGTTGATGATGGCTCCAACCGTCGACTGTGGTATGACGCATTGTCCATAACAACAACAGAATTTGGTTTAAGGTTTGGTAGAATATTTGAAAACCATCTTTCGAATCTTTGAGCGTCCATTTCCTCATGGTAATCGTTGGTTTTCTTGGATTCGAATAGTAAAAAGCTGTTCTTTAAAAAACCGGAATAGCTGCCTATATGTGTTATTATGAACCTCCGTCCTTTACCCACTGGTATTTTTAAACCTAATGAAACTTAGAGGTAATGGATTTTGACAATAGCTATTGAGTCATGCTGATGCTGTACACAAGTTTACCTATTATTTACAAGTTCATAGCTCTTGTTAAAATTCATTACCTATAACTCAAATTTATAAAACAATAATAGAAAGTATTGAGTTGTACGGCGATGTAGTATATCTTTTCTAAGTAAAAATATTAAGAGAATAAAAGTTTTAATTCCAAAAGTATGTCGAGTTGGAGATAAAAAAAATTGAACATATTAAACGAGCACTGAAAGACGTATGTGACATCCTTTATCATTTTTAGTGGCTAATTTAGATTTCTCATCCCAAAAAACTTAAGCTTACCAAATTTCGTGTTGTTATACCATGCGTGTCACGAAATATTCAAAAATAAAAGTTTACCTTTGACACCCTTTATTTTGATTATTATCAACATTCATACTAAAGTAAGTTAGTTTAAATCGGCCTATTTTAATCTCAGGAATCTAAGATTAAGTTATGGCCATTCATTATCAAACTCCATGTATATTATATTAATATATATATATATATATATATATATATATATATATAATATATATATATATATATATATATATATATATAATAACCCAAATGTCAATAATATTCATATTAAAATTAACATAATTATAAATAGGTACATATTTATTTAATACAAGTAGCTTTGTCGTAACTTCTTATGACATTTTTCGTACGCCATTGGAAAACCTACAATAGCAATGAACAGTCACTATTACTTCCAAGAATTTACTGCCTAGATTTCTGGATTCTGACTATAGTTACTTGATAAATCATGTTCAGAGAATATACAAAAATGTAATATCCGAAGAATTAGAAGAAAATAAGAGTACGAAATAGAAAAAAAAATGAAATCAGAAGTGCATTGAGATATCTTTTAATCAAAATGTAAGTATATGATAATTTCTGTTTTTAAAACTTAAACAATCACTACCTAAGCAAAGATTATCAGTAATCAAGATGTTACATGCTACATAATATAAATATTTTAATTCCGCAACTTACTTTATTGATTTCATTACTCCAATTTCTAACCAACGAACTAGGACATACTATGATTCCTTTGTCAATTAATGGTTTAGCTTCAGGTCCTTGTCTAACCAATGTCCATAAAAGAGTAATGCATTGTAGAGTTTTTCCTAATCCCATTTCATCTGCCATAATACATCCATAAGAACCAGGGATTTGAACACCTGTCACACAGTCATACATAAACTTTACTCCCTGAAAAGAAAAAAATCTATTGATTCTAAAAATAAGAAAAACAGAATACTTACCTCTCTCTGATGAGGACGTAAAATGTTTCCTAATAAAGGATCAACTACAACATGTACTAAAATTGTCCTAGAAATTAAAACCAATAAATAAAGATAATACCAATATGCTAGTGAATAAAAAATAAAATGTCTGGCCTTACTTATCACTTTTTAGTTTATCATGTTCTGAGATTTCGGGTGGAGCATACAGTACTAAAGCATTTGGTGTGTTGGGATCATACAGAGCTCTTTTAACTTGTGGTCTTCTAATGCCCAAATTTCTAGTACTATTGGATCCTTCATAGTTTGGAACTGGACATTTAAAAGGTCTAGATAATTTCTTAATAAGTTCCTCCTAAACAGTATAAACCATTGTGGTGATATTATTATTAAGTACAATGTTATATAAACTACTTATTTTTTTTAGTATAGAAAAAAATTTTGGAAAGAGAATTTTTTTTTATTGGCTTTGGCTTGAAACCTTTAGCCACGTAATTACATATAAATATTAGTTTTCATTCATACAGGATTGTACAAGGAGGACACTTTTCACACTCAGGGATTCATCAGAGCGGGAAAGAGAAATTAATTACACAAAAGAGAATTTAAAGAAATGGTTTGGATAAAAAAATCAAATTTAAGCATCATTTATAATATTTTGTCTTATTAATCATAAACTTTAAAAGTAACAAAGGAGAAATGTAATTATAAAATTTAAATAATAGTTTGATAGTTTGGAGATTATTTTAGAATATTGTTTTTTCGTTAATATCTTTCCCAACCCACCGAAGTATTTTATCAGTCAAATGACATTTGAGTGACCAAATTAACATCAAATAATTATTTCTTTAAAATTATAATTAGTATTGTAGTTTTAAATTATAATTTATTCTTTATTTTGTGTAAATTCATCATGTTTATCAAAGTTATTGTATTAATTATTAACAAAGAGTAGAAAGTGTTTTTTAGATTAGTTTTATCTAAATGTAAACTTCCCTTTTTAGATTGTTTTGAAAAAGAAATAAAATTTTCGAAAGCTTAAGCAAGCTTAAGGAGTTATGTAGTATCCAGTGAGAATACAAATAAAACAATATTATTGGAGATGTAAATAACTAAAAAGAAAAGTAAGTAGTAATAGGAAACGTAATAGAAAAGTGATAGCGGCAACGGTCAAGACATCAAGTACCTAACAAGGTAGCAGCTACAACTGTAGCAGGTAATAGCTACCTAAGCAGCTACTATTACAATAGGCTAAATTTACTTCATTCCGAACTTACATGGTCGGACACAAATATAATTTCTGTGTTAACTTGTGAAAGTGGGACTCGTTTTGTAGTTTTAGTGTCTTTAGAATGATCTCTGGTTCTTTTTGAAGTAAAAGGAGACTTAAACCCACTGTTTACATTTTTAATAAGTGTATCTTCGGCTTTATACTTCTGACTAGGAGCGGAACTTCTCCTCTAAAATATAATAACAGTAATATTTGGCAAAATTAAAACGTCTTTTAATTAAATTACCATTTTGATTAAATTACATACGATATAAATTCAAAATCTTTTTGCATCTGTCAATATTGTCCAATGACGTATAATATATAGACTCGGTGAACGCTTTAAAAAGTGTCCAAAACATGAATACCTTTGTTATTGTTTATTGTTTTGATACGAAGATGCACGAAGTTCATGATTTCTTACGAAGCATCACGAAGTTGATCTTGTGTTTAAAAACATCATGGACGTATGAAAACATTTTCTCCATTTTGTGTGACAAGCAAATTTTATTTTAAATTGTTGAGAGTTATTTACTTACTATTTTAGTAAAATGCCATACTATTTTATCAAAATAATTATTTCTCTTATAGACGGGAACAAAAAGAAATCATAAATATTTAATTTTAATTAAAAAAATAATTATTGTCATTAACATATAAATGAGCACGCCGCTGTTGTGATAAACATACCTTCAACCTTGAGCCGAGATCTTTCGGACACTTGATCACCGAACACCGTTGTTCGGTGACTTGATTCTATAGCGAGAATAGGGGACTGCGTAGTCTATATATTATACGTCATTGATATTGTCAACAATAAAGATAGGTTAGGATTTTAAAAGTTAAAATAGCGGGAGCTTCCTCTTCTTTTTTGTTAATTATTGTAAAGTTAACTAGCGTCTAGGTCTAGAGCCTGACCCACAGACCACTATTTTTCATAGGTGATCTGTGGCCTGACCTACTCTTATGTGCAGACATGCGCAGTTCAATTGTATCCATTTCTGAATGTGTCAATGAGGTTTATGTGTATTGTTGGTTGCAAACATTTTGTTTATAAATTAATAATATAATTACTTCAATCCATCTCTTTAACCCGTTTGATAAATTTAATAATGTTTAAATTATAAGAATACCTCTAAAATAAATAGTAAATAATAGCAAATCAAAATTAAAGGTTTTTTAAAATGGTTAAAAAAAAAAACTTTTTGCGCATTTTTTCCAATAAACATTTGTTATTTTATATACAGGATGTTGACTGATGTTATGTATCAACTACTATGATACCAACTATTATAAAATTTTTGGATTCTGTACAAAATTCCCAGAACTTTGATATATTGCAGGTTATAGTTTTAATTAACTTATTTTAGGATACAGGGTGGTTAATGAATAGATCACTCTCTGCATGTCTCCCATCGAGCAATAAGACAAAAGAGGGAATCTAATCGTTATGAAAAGGAGACCAAAAAAGTGGCCTCTGATGGCGGACATATCCGGAAATGAAAATGCGCCAAATTTAAATTTCATGACACTTGACAACAGTAGCTATATAATATTTCGCAGAATGTGTCTTAGACGAGAAAGTTTTAGTTAATTATTAATGATAAGAGTCTAAAATGCGACACAATTGTTAAAAAACTTCAATATAAATAAGATTTCATGTGACATTTGGGACAAACAATAACATAACCCAACTAAATTTGATGTCAAACAAGGAGAGATACTCTCTTTCCTTGTTTAATGTGGCCTCTAAAGATCGCACTTCCTGTCTAACAATATGTTTGCCCCCACTACCTTTACATTCCCTCTATTGTCTTTTTGCTCGATGATGTCTCCTTATGTCTTTAAAAGGTTCTATACCTAATTTCAATAAAGAAGAGTGAGTTCAGTTTCGTATCTCAACTTGTTTTTAATAATGTATATAGTATATACTCTAAGATATGTATAATAATCACTACATTATTTAGCATTTATCTTTTTTGGTATAATAAAAAAGGTGGATAAAAGCCATTCTTGTGGTATTTTTCCTGATGTATAAATGCTATTGAAAAGTTCTAAAATGTGAATAGAGTCCTTTTTTATTAGTTTAAGGATTTCCGTTGGTATTTCATCTGGACCTTTGGCTTTACATTTTTCATTCTTTTTAGTGCGTACATTACTTCCTCTTCCGTTATTTCTGGACCTTCGTCTCCTTGTATGTTACTTTACTTAGCTCAGATTGTTGTATATCATCTGCAAAGAGTTCTTCTATATAGTTTTTCCATGTCTTCAACTGTTCTTCTAGTTCCGTTATTATGTTTCCGTTGACATTATACAGGGTATTTGGCTGCTTACGTTTTTGTGTACCTGCAAGTTCTTTCACTTTTTTATGTACATTAAAAATATCATGTTTTGCGTGCAATTGGTCTATTGCTTCACATTTTCTTTTATAAAAATCTTCTTTTGCTATTCTGATTTCTTTCTGTATTTGTTTATACCTTTGTTCGTTTTTTCCTTTCATTATTCTCCGATTGTCCATGAGAAGGAGGATGTTATCAGTCATCCACCTTTGCTTTATTTTTGGTTTTTCTTTAGTCAGAATTTTCTTCGCAGGACCTGTTATCGCCATTTTTTATCTATGTTGTTCGTTGGCTGAGATATTTCTTTTTCATGAAGTATTTTCAAATTATTATTAATACATTTTTGCAGTTTCTCCTTTACCTCCAGGTTACATAAATGACTGACGTCTATCTGATTTGCTCTTCTTTTCTGCTCCAATTTTTTTAGTTTAATACTAATTTGCGCTATTAGAGGGTTATGGTCTGAAAAGACATCTGCGCCTGGGTAAGCTTTAACGGGTTTTAAGGAGTTTCTGTATTGTTCGTTAATCAGTAAAAAATCAATCTGGTTTCGAATTATTCTTTCGCCATTGTCCTGGGGTGATTTCCACGTATAAAGTCTTCTCTTTGGTAAGTTGAAGAATGTATTAGATACAATCATGTTATTCTCCTGGCAGAATTGAAGTAGTCTGTCACCTCGTTCATTTCTTTTACCGAGTCCGTATTCTCCTACATGTTTGCCACTTTTTCCTTTACCAATTTTTGAGTTAAAATCACCTAGAATTACGGTGATGTCTCGTGGATTTTAATACTTGATTGATTTCTTCGTAGAATTGTTCAATTTCGTCCTCGGATTTATCTGCAGTAGGTGCATAGATCTGTATGATATTTAGTTTACTTGTGTTTGTTTGTAGTTGGAAAAATAAGAGCCGATCTAATACTGGAGTAAAATTAATGACCGACTGCATCATAGACTTAGATACGAAAACTGCTACGCTGTGTCTGTGTTGAGTACTACTGTTTCCGGAGTAATATACCATGCCAGAATTTGGCCACCTTGCCTCACTAATGCCTAGAATTTCGAAATTTAATCTTTACATTTCTTGTATTATATTATGCATTTTGCCTTGATCATACATACTTCTAACATTCCATGTACCAATTCTTAATACTCTCTTGGATGTTTTTCTATTTTTTTTAAGAGTGGTATTTAGTACTTCACAGGGATTTTGCTGGTTGACGACCCAGGAGGTCCTGTGGTCTTCTTGTGATATACCTTCCATGCCGGATCCTGGTCTCCGATTCCCATGATCAGTGGTTGACGTGGCTTTTTGTTGTACAGTCATGATGATCGTACTAGAGATATCCATGATGGATCTTTAATGTAGTGGTTTCTCCTTGCCTTCTACATCCTTATGCCGTTGACTAGTAAATAGTTCTTCCGCCTTTAGTGCCAATTTCTTGACCCCAGGACAAAAGAGTGCCTTTTCACTTGCTTACCAACCAAAGTTGGTCAACAAGTGAGGACTGCTTATTTCGGCACTAGACGCTTTAAGTCCACTGTATTCCGCCAACTCTAGTGATGTTATAAAATGGTATATATAAATATTTGACATTAAAATCTCTCGTGTCCGTAGAATTTTATTACGCAACCCCATTATTTTGCTACGCGACCCCATTTGGGGTCGCGACCCATAGTTTAAGAAGCCCTGGTCTACAAGAACTTATAGGAAGGGAAAATTGTGAAAAAGGATAATTAAAACTTTGTATGTTCTTGCTCATTTAATTATTTTTCAAAACAAAAATGTATGTCAATATTAATGACATTTTTGTATTTACAAAATCATCTCATACGATTTTTACAGAGAGAAAATCTAGATTTAACAAATTATTTGGCAATTGATATTAATTCCGGCCCAAATGGAGAAATCCACCGACTAACATAACTTCAGTATAACCTTTTAACTGTATTGGATATTTTGTAAAAGCTTGAAAATAAAATTATTTTATTTTCTTCTTTTTAAAATTTTAACGACCAATGTTTAACTGAAGTTTCGACTTTCCAAGTGAAAATCTTTGTCAAAATATTTTTATTTTTTTTTATCGAGTTAAGTGTTTCTATAGGAAAAATATTCAAATAAATTAAGTTTAGAAAGGACGCCAATTTAAGCTATCTATTCTTGAATTTGATAACGGAATTTTTATATAAGACTTTTCTTATTAGTGAAATAAATTTTGACACCAACTAACATGAAAGGGTTCTTTCTTCCAAGTTAACACTATAATGGTAGAAATAAATAGTAAAAATAAAGAACCTGCAGGTGAAAAATATCACAAATAATTACAAAATATCCAAAACATAAAATTTACGTACACGTGGCGAATTTTCTCATAAATCACAAGAGAAACAACTTCAAGTTATCTCGTAATACGAACAGTCTAAATTATTTGCTTCTGGAATCAGCTTACACCGTTATTTAAATTAATTCTCTGAAAGAAACAATATTTGATCAAGGATATAAGTAACCTAAGAAATTCAAAATATTCCTAACAAGATCTAAAACCACAGCCTAAATTCCAGCCTACGGTCATTCTTTCAACTTTTTATTTGTGATATAATCATTTCTATACATAATTACAATTTTTTCACAAATTATTATTACCACAAAATGTATTGCAAAAATGACCATATTACCACTGTTGATTTGAATTTTTTAATACATTTATTATTAAGACTAGATTTTTTGTTACGTTTAAATTCATTTAAAGAAGCATAGATCGTTTAAAGTTTCTCAGATAATATATATACAAAATATTAAAAATGGTTTAAACTAACACTATTATTTTGTGAAACCATAACGTATTAAATGATGTGAGTATATTTTTTAATTTCTGTATCTTTTTTTTCTTCAATTTCATTGCAAATTATTACTAAAATAGTATATTCAACATATTTATTTTCCAATACAGCGAGCATAAAAAGTTGCTCCACAGAAGTTCCGCAAAATATGGTTCGTTTGGATTTAGCTGACTCAGCCAACATTACTGTTTCGTTTATCTTGGCCAACGCCAGTAATCACTATCTAGGTACATGACCTAAGTGTCTGATTAGTCTTTTATTTTCATCATCACCAAAGTCCTGAACTCAAGGAAAATCAAGGACGGACTTCGTGATCATGGTTCTAAAAGTTAGAAATGGGAGTCGATGCCTTCTCGATTTTGACTACCAAAGAAGTGGAATAACTCTTTCCAAAGTTGATTTGAGTGAACGTAAAACTGCAACTGTGGAGAATACTTCAAAAAACTATTCAAGATTTACAAAAGTTTAAAAGGTACCTAGTGTTTTATTTCAGATCTATCTGCAAAATATAAAAGACAAGCCTCTTAAATCCTGGTAACATAATAATTGTTCAAATATCTTCTCAATAAAACGCCATTCCAAATGTTTTAAGAGCAGAAACCGTTTAATTTTCGATTTTGCCATAGATGTATCACAATGCAGGTGCTGCATTATTGTTATTTTGGTATATAATATTGATTTTTTAAGTAATTATGCCGAAAAACTTGCAATATAAAACAGTGGAAAGAGGTAGATGAATGTATGTATAGAGTAACGTGATTGAGAGACGGAAATCATATTGGTCGTCTATCTTCATAATTAATGTCATTTGTTGTGTAACTTGTGTATCAATAACTATATTTTTCAAAAATTGGTGATGCAATTTTCTTTCAGTTTTTGAATATTTAACAACTTTCAAAGTAATATTACTTAAGTTTAGATTCGTTTAGATGTGTAGCATTCAGTTAATATTTTTAGAAAAGTTCGATTATTTTTTAAGACTATCAAAAACAATATAGTTCGTTTTTCAGCTTGAGAAAGTCATTCAACGAAAATAATACAATAAGTAGATTTACATTTTATATGTCTACTTTTTTTACGTTATTTATGTCCAAATTTTTATAGGTTATGTTATGATTATAAATGATACTAGTCATAGGCGTAGTAAGGGGTCCTGGTGACTCATAAAATTTTAAAATACTCGCTTTGATACTCTTCTTTCTTGTAGTGTGTACACAGTTATTTTACATTACTTAATATGTAAGTCACATTTTTAAACCGTAGTATGCAGCCGTAGCTTATTGGCAATGGGTGATGGTATAGATGTGTAACAATGATAAAGTGTTGGAGTTCTATATCAGTATTATCCTGGCATAACCGATTAATGTAGCACCATTTAAGACTTATACACACTTTTGGGGAGAGTACTACATAAGTAATATTATATTTATTTGCAGTGGGGCATGCTATGTCAATATTTTCTGTATTTGATTCATAATTAACACATATTTATCTCTAGCGTGGGTTTATTACATGTCGAAACCTATTCCGCTAAAATTTCTGTTCTAATATAATTTTAAAAACATATAAATATAAAATAAGTAAGATATTTTGCACATATATATTATCCAAATATTATTTCTATCTCTAGGTATTTTAAAGTCGTTTCTGATGTGATTTTCCTCCAATTTCGAAAATAAATCTGAGCATTTAGTGGACTCAGTACGTACTCGACTACATCAGGAATGTTTTTGTAGGAAGATTTTCTTCGTGATTAAAATTATTTGCGAGGAGACAAAAATTGACGATTATTTTCACTTAGAAATTCTCACACGCCGTTTTAACCACGAAGAAAACTTTCATGTTTTAAGAACACAAGTCAGTTCCAGAAATTTACATTTTTTTAACGTTACCGTAATGTTTACAAATTGTATATCGCTGAACTGGTTGCCATTACTCTAGTAAAACACCAAAATTAAACAAAAGTTTCCAACACACCAAACCAAAAAATTAAAATTCACTTTCTAAAAAACAAAACTCAATTCTTATGACCCCATAACCCTAATTCTCAGTCGACGAATTAATTGATCACACGCACTAAGTAATGCAACAACCATTTTAGTTAGTCTTAGGATACTGTAACTTTTGTAACGCAATTTTACCACTTTTAAAAATATTTAAAACTTTTTTCGAAGGAGGGTATAATAGTAAATAAAGGCAGAATATATTCTGGTTAAAATAATTAACCCTTTGCGGCCACTGTCATGTATAATGTGAATCTAGCTCTACACATAATTTTCCGTATAGATCACCTAGCATTTCAAACGTGATGCCAATGCCAGTTCTAATCATTGTCACATAAAAAATTTGATTTCTAGAAGAAAAATTATAAAGGTATCTACTTACATTTTTTCTAACAAGTGATTGCTTATTTTTTAATAATACTCAGTTGACTTTGCTAATAAATTAAGATATTGTGGTGCATAACAACGATCGTTACACCCCTTTAGAGCAATGACTGGCGTCGTTAAGGGTTAAGATAAAAACACTTTTTATTTAATTTTATTATAACATTTTACACGTCTGAGGTGCATTCAAGATTGTCACAGTAAAGTACATCTAATAACTATAATCCAATTAAGAATGGGCAAGTTCACAGTGGAGCCATTCGAATCGGGTAGTAATAGTTCTGAAACGTACAGAACCTTAAAGAGTCTGGTTTATATTATATTATTTATAGTTCGGGTACAAGTACTAAATTTTTTCGACTCATTAGTTATTAATCCGGAATTTGCCACATGAACAAACATAATTTAAAATCCAACAAGGAAAAATAAATTCGTGTAGTCGACTGTATACTATGAATCAAAAAAAGTTTTATTTAAAAATTCTTTATAAAAGGTTTATAATTAAAAAGACCCTTTAGGCTACATCACAGAATGTTTTCAGACTAAAAAGTCCGTCATCAGTGTATAACCTGGTAACATGCGTCAAGTGACTAAATATTTGGGTAAAAACCCTTAAAAAAGTACAAAATTTATTATGTGCTCCATTTTTGTTGAAAAGTTGGTGTGATGTTAAAGTTTTTAACAGATACCTTGCGTGGTAACGCAAGACTTCCAATAAGGGTTGCTGCTGATCCTCAGACAACGTCTGAATGGGTTCTGAACAAGAGTTGTCATCTAGAACCCATTCAGACATTGTATGAGGGTCAGCAGCCACCTCTATTGGGAGTCTTATGTTGCAATGCAGGGTATCTGTTAAAAACCATCACACCATCTTTTGGTGTGATGTGAAAGTGGCAATATTTAGTGGCTTGACTCATGTACAACTGGTAATTCCCTAATGGACTTTTCAGTCAGAAAATGTTGTAACGTAGCCCCAGAAGGGTTTTTTAATTATATACCTTTTACAAAGAATTTTTAAATAAACATAATTTAGTCTTTTTTCCTAATCTTTCTCCTATTTGTTTACAGTTGATAAATCTACAATCTCAACAAAGAATTTTTCAAAAACAATGGAATAAACCAGTTTTAACCGTGGTAAAAATAAGAGTTTCAAAAGTTACAGAAACCCGGTCTTTGTAATTTGAAGATGTGTAGGCCAAGCAACAAGAATGAAAATCACAAATCACAAAAACGTTAACACAAAACAAATTGCGAAGTTTTATGCCAATATATACTATAATTTTTTAATGACAGTTTATAATAAGTTTTTTCAATTAACAACTTGTCTACTATGGTACTATTGTTCAAGTTAATACAAATATTTTTGGGTACTAATAGTTAACCAAGTAACTTTGTTGACTTGATTACTATTAAATTTTGACATCCTTTCTAAAAATTTTCGACATTAAATGTTTTTATCGAAAAACTGTTCTTAGCAGAACAAAGAAATAGCAGCAATATTTTAATTAGATTGGATGAAGTAGGACTGAACATATGAAAGAACTTTGGGAGGGAAACTTTTACAGCTGGAAAGTCTTGCTGCAGGCAAATCATGAGCATTGTGCAGCATATTGAGAATGACTTTAAGGAGATGAAAATAACTGGCGAGGCCTAGATTGATTTGACTGCTATTTGAAGTCTACAATATTACTGACGACTTCTGATTGATGTGCTTGGAGAAATATTTACACTACCGACTTTTTATACCACCCTGCAAACAGACATTTGATTTATGCTAATGCATGCTAGGAGGAAGTCAAACAGTTGGGAGTAAATTGGGACCAATCTCTTATATTTAAAACCTTTTGCTAAAACACAAAAGCAAAAATTTCCTCAAGCAATGACATACTTGGTAAGATAACTGGAATAACTTGTGAGAGCTTAGCCAACTGTGCTAAGAACCTCAGCCCTGGCTTCAGACCAATCAACTTAGTTTTGGCTACATTACACTCACACTCATCACATTTATCATGCATAATTTTCTACAAACATCGGAAAGAAAGTGATTTCTGAAATTGAGAAATGTTTTGTCTACCAAGGCATCTACAAAAATATAAATCTCTTTTTGTTGAATGAGTGAATGAATGAATGAATGAAATGAATTTAAATGAGTTCCACGGTTACAATTAAAACCACTGCTGAACGCAGCATTCAAGCAGTATTCAACTTTGGAGAAAAATGTTGCATGCTAAAGCCTTACATTCAATTCAGGTTATCAATTACCCTACACCATCTGGACTTAACAAATACCATATAAGTTAGGAGACTCAGAACCGGCACGTCGTGATTCAAGTTAGACTTAAAGATAGGCGGTATTCAGTGTACAGATGTGAGTATGGCGAAATACAAAACCTTGAGCAATTATTGGTTTGTACACAGGAATACATTCTCCTTAACTTAATGTCAGTTAATGACAAAATAATTTCAGGGTCGAAATATTGGTAGTATAAGATTTGAAGAAATGGTCCTGGCACGGAAAGTAATAATAATAAAAAATACCAAACTGGTTGCAAAGTCGCTCATATGTGGAACGTGACATTTTATGTGATATTTAACGGAATATGTGACATTTGACACAAAACCATTTATGTGGAATTTGACGTAGAATGTCAAATTGACGTACGTCAAGTCAAATGTCACATAAAATATCACGTTCCACATATGAGAGACTTTCCAGCCAATTTGGTATTTTAGACCTTGGCGATTTTCCATCTCAATTTCTATAAAAATTGCGCTCGGACATAATTGCTTATTTACCAAGTCTCGTAAAACAGTTGCCTAATACTCAATTTTTTACCTAACCTCAACATATATAGCACAAAGTAGATTTATTTTTATTACAGTATCTTTAATAACATTGAACTATATGATGCGACTATGCTGTTTTAATCTCAATGTAATAATACAATTTTTTAATATTTCTGTATGAATAATAATTAGAATTTTATTAAGAATTTATAACTTTTTAAGGAACATACTTTTGAAACAAACTACAGCATACATTTAATCTTTTAATTTATTCTTTACTGCCCGTTGTGTAGCATTTCTTTTTTAATCTGTGATTTATTTTTCATCTTGTTGCTTTGTCTATTGTTTGTATATTTTGAAATGAACAACTGAAAAAACGTTAAAATAAATTCAATGATTTCATAACACTATCACATTTTATATGTAACTTTTTTTGTCGTATTTACAAAATGTTACAATTTAAGTATAACTTTGCGGGTAAGGATTTTAGAACGATTTTTTGTCCCACCTTTTAGGACAAATTGACAAATTTCTAAAGTGATTAAATATGTTTGCGACATTAACATGTTTTGACTAAAATTAACAGTAAAGTCGTTGATCAGTTTTAACCTGAAACAGAAAAGAATCTTATAAATCTACAAATAATTTATACAATAAAAAATACATACATATACATAAAAAATATACAATAAATTTGTATTTTTTGGTTTTTCATATTTTTTGTATATTAATGAGAACAAGTACAGTCGAGCTTATACTCCAATCGTCAGACGAAAATGCCACTGAACCTCTAAAAATCATACAAACAAGCTGAATTTTTCTGAAAATGTCAATTTTGGGATCCCAAAAATATGCAGAATAGTTTACCACTCCTACCCCCGGCTTCCTCCTAAAACCCCTCTCGCATGGACATAAAACCGATTTAACAATAATCTGTACGCTCTAGAAAAAAATGTTTTAAATAAAAACTGTAGCTGAGATAATTTTGAACAAAAATGTTTACTAGCACTTTTTGTGCAGAATGAACTGTTCTCTAAGAAACATCGCTTGAAGCGTCCGGCGGTTTTGAATGTTGTGGTGTAGTGTTACAGTAGTGCTAACAGTAGACACTTCCGGTTGATTGTGGTTATGTTTAGTTTTACACTCGTTCGATGTCAGTTTTTCCCGCTATAATCTTCGTATTGTATTAATTAGTTAACCGGGTAATTTTGTGGGCGAACTTTTTTTTGTTCATATTTAATGGTAAATAATTTGTATTTAGGACATATTAGGGCAAAAAATAGACAAATCGAAGGTTTTTGTATTATACTTTTACACTAGGCCACAAACGAAAAACATATTTGGTGTGAAATGGAATAAAACTATTTTTTTTTTTAAATAGACATAAACCTACTTGACATGTAGTACATGCCATCCTGTATGAAGAGGAATTGCCTTGGTACTGCAGTGTGTACAACGTACTTTGGCTCTATACTGAGGCATATGGACTACTTTGTCAATTCTTATTTCTAGAGGAACTTGTTTTTTGAACCTGTTACTGGTGCTTGGTTTGTCCATGCTTCTTCTTCCAAATTTAGGCATATGGGGGTCTGCTCCAATCAAACCGGTGGCCATAGCAATTTTAAATTCTTTCAAAGAATACTCTTACCAGTTGTTGATTGTTTGAAAAATTAAATATGAGTTTAGTAATTTTGAGTCAACAAAATTTTAAAAAAATTCTATGCCACAACTTTTTGGATTTTCTATCCAATTCGTAACTAGATACTAACATATCAGACTTATCTACATAGTCCATTTGTTGTAATCTTGTGTTAATTGTTTGCAGTTAATTTTTAATATCCTATCCTTTTCTTTCCTGTCTTCACAGTGACATTTTCTTCAGGTTTGGAAAATTGCTTAGAAAGTGAATGGGTTTTTTATCCATCCATTGCAAAGCTAGAACTCCGTCTTCACTCATTTTCCAGTTTGGAGTCACCTCTTTTAATTTTTTTATTTGTTAGTTGTGACATAAGTTAGTTGGAAAACCTTTTCTATCTTTTCGAGTTGTTCCACATGCGTAGATATTGTCTTTTATCAAGTCGCGTTGTAATGCAACAGAATTGAAAGTTATCGAAATAAACTTCATAATTTTTTCCAACTAAATCTCTTGTAAGATCTTTTATTACTCTTGCTCCGAGCTGTTGTTCCCTTACATCGTTTACTTTTCCAGTGTATATTTGGAATTGTAAAACATATCCTGACTGATCAGCACATGCCCATACCTTATATCCCCTTTTTATGGGCTTCATCGGCATATGAAAACTACTAATACTACTACTAAAACTACTACTACGTAAACTACTTCGCCCCTTGAACCGTATCATAGATTCGTTGCTGGGATAAAATGAGCTTTTATAAGTCGTGTAAAGTTCCTCTAGCAATGGTCGCACTTTGTAGAGTTTGTTGTAGTTGCCATTACCTTTCTTAGGTTGTAATGAATTGTCATTTATATGAAGATGAGTAAGCAACCATCCAAATCTGTCACGCGACATACATGAAGAAATAAACTGATCCCTGATAACAAAATTTGCAGACCAAAAATCTGTATAACTGGCAACTTTTACACACCCATCAAAAGGATAGGTTTTAAAAAAACACTTTATTTCTTCAAGTGTTATGGGAGTGTTGTTTTTGTTATTTTCTTGGACTACATATAAATTAGGTTGGGAAACAAGTGTATTCAACAGATTCTCACTAAACAAATGAAGGAAGAAATCAAGAGGAGTTTCTATAGTATCAGGAATATTTGGTCCAACGTTTTCTGAGAAAGGACGGAGTTGAGCGGCATTATTTGGGTCGGTGGTCCATTTTAACTCATCAAGAATAGCAACTGATACCTCGTCTTCACTACAGTCACTGTCATGAGCAACATCTTCATTGTCTGAAATATCGTTTTGTTCATCTAAAACAGCTGACTCCAAAGTCATGTCGATATCTTCATCCTCGTTCTCATCAAAATCGGATACATCAGATCTCTCCGATGGGATATCTGCTAGTAAATCGTAAGCGTCATGACTTTTTAATAGGCCGTCATAAGCGGCCTAGTGGCGTCTAATGGAACCACCAATCAAAATATAAAAATTCACTTAGTTATCTAAGTAGTTCATAAAGACTCAATACAGCAATACATAAATACATCTATGTATCAACAAATTAATATAATAGATACCTTTTATCAGTAGAAGAATGTTTATTTACAACAATCAATAACCTCACGAGCATACACTTGTGAGCGTGCCAAATGTATTATGCACAATGTGCACAACTGCTCCTGGAATTTTGTTATCGCGTGGGAAGTGAAATACACGACGTCTACATCGCATTCCATCTGGTGGTTCCAGCTTACGATTACTCGGGCAGTAGGAAAAAATTGTTTAAAAGTGGTTCCACCGTGGAACCACTAAGCCTGAAAGGGTTAAAGTATCCATGTGCAGTGAAGGCTGTGTTACGTAGCAGTCTTGTTATTTTCAACCGGTGTCTTGCCTATTTATTAATATGTCGGAACACGGAGAGGAGGAGTATTTGGCCCCACAGGCGACCAAGGTATACCAATTAGTGAATTCCGTAGGAAACTTACATATGCCAGCTTTCGATAGTACTAAGTATTAAGTCAACGTGGAAAGTTTTCAAGAACAAAATGCATAATATTGAGGAAGATAAATGGCCCCAGTATTTGTTAACCTATGTAAGATTTGACATTGTGTCATTATTAACAGAGTTATACTTCCCAGAAGAGGTGGTGGATAAAACCTATGGGGAATTGGTGAAAATGGTGCAGAAACATCTTGAACCTGACCATTCTAAAATGGCAGAGACCTATAAATTCATGTGAAGGATCCCGAAAGAGTCGGAGAGTATCACGGAATCTGTGGCTGCTTTAAAATCTTTGATGAGAACGTGCAATTTTAATAACTATCTAGATAGAGCCCTCAAAGATAAATTTGTCCACGGGTTGAGAGATCAATCAATTATTAGAAAGTTATTCACTGAAGTAAATCTCAGCTTCCAGCAAGCTGTTACTATTGCCAAAACTATGAAATTAGTCCTCTATGATTACAGTGGTTGGGTGTTTCTGAATTTCGCTAACATCTGAAAATCTGTGATTGTAGCGTGATCTTCAGTAAGTTTATTCAGTCAAACGAGTATTTATACCATGTTTTTTGTTTCAACGTATACTAATTATAGTGAATGCAAATAACCGTTTTCTTAAATCTTTAGCTCTTGAGACTTTCTTCTGTGATAACATTCTAACCTAAAAGTTTTGAAAGTACAGATGTTTCGAGGGGCAGAATTAAGATCAGATCACTACTTAGTAGTGGCGAAGGTACTACTGAACATTCGAGAAGCAAACTTGAGAGCCTAAAAATGAATCCACACAATTTTTAAACAAATTGACTTACTACTACTACAATTGATTACGACGAAAAATAAGGCTGTGGAAGAGGTATAGTCACAGATAACAGATTGTATACACAAAGCAGCAAATGGATACACTAAAAAAAAGGAAAGAAAATCCCAAATAAGATTGTTCTTCTTCAGATGCAAATCCACTAATGGATGTTAGCGATCACATGTTCCATTAATTCTGTATTTCTTGCAATATGTATCAGAGATTGTACGTCGTTAATCCCTGTCCATTGCCTTATGTTTCGGAGCCAGGACATTTTCTTGCGTCCCAGTCCTCTCTTGGCTTCAATTTTACCCTCGATTATAAGTTGGAGGAACTGGTATTTTTCATTTCGCATGATGTGACCTAGATACGCCGTTTTCCTTTTCTTGATGGTTTTGAAAAGTTGGCGTTCTTGGTTTATTCTTTTAAGGACATCTATATTTGTGATTTTCGCTGTCCATGGTATTTTTATATACGGCAATAGAGCCACATTTCGAAAGCTTCTAATCTGTTTATATCCCTCGTTTTGAGTGTCCAGCCCTCTACGCCATAAAGCGGCACTGACCACACGTAGCACTTAGTAAACCTTAGTCTCAGTTGAAGATCGAACTCTGAACAAGTCAGTACCTTCTTGAATTTTACGAAAGCTTGTCGAGCTTGCTCAATGCGACATTTTACTTCCCTGTCCGATGCCCAAAAAGCCACGATCTCAGGTATTTAAATTTACTCACTCTTTCAATGGACTTAGTAAGATGGGAGAATGTATAGTTATTGGAAATAGAGAAGTTATCTGTAATATTAAATGCGAAGAAATTAATACGATAGATTTAATAGATATATGCGTGGAACATGAGGATTTCAGGCATGGAAATTAATAGATTTGAATTTTTTTCCCCAAAATACAACGTTTGGTATTTTGATCACGATTTCCAAAATAAACCGCTTTTAAAGAAAGATTGTGGGCTTATTCCCAATAAAAATATTAAATTGTATTAAGATGCCACAAGAAAATATTCAGCTTCAGAACAATATCTTTAAATCGACCTATAATTTAACAAACTGGAGTCAACATAAAGTTATTAAAAGAAAAAAAGATTAATATATCTTTTGTAGTGGTTGGTGAAAAAAGTCTAATTTCATTCTCTGTTCCCACAAAATAAAAACCTTGAACATTTATCATATTTTATTTTATTTTTTTATTTTTTATATAACTTAATCATATGTCCTTAAGGTACACGGTCAAAAACTCTTCCATAAATTAAACTTACCGTTCAGTTCCCTCCCAAGCGCCCCTCTCCCAGACATCAAAACACGAGCGACATAATGTTTATAAACACTTTAATTATGGACGGGGGGCGCCGTTTGGCGTTCAATCTCTTCAAGGCTAAGAAGATTTTGCGACAGGCTGCTGGTACTTGGTAGTTCACCTCCTCTGGCACGTTCCAATAGGTCGGGAGAGAACCAACGGGCCAACTGGTTTACTGTCGATGTAGTGGAAGTGGTAGCGCTAGATGTTGGACGTCCTCCATCTGATTCTAGGCCTGCCTTGGAGGACCTATTAGCTGCCAAATATGAAAAATGTGTTAATAAGGTATGAGGTAAAATAAGGTAACAGTTTTCAATTCAATATTGTAACTGACATTAAATGCTTTAAATAAAAGTACAATAATATTACGAAGTCATTTGGACATTTAATATCCAAAAAAGCCAAGTACTATGTTTAAAAATATTTAAAAAAAAAACACTGGCAAGCGTGACTGAACAGGTTAAATTGCTATTTTGAGAACATGGATTCGCAGACCTACAATGAAGGCATAGATAATTTTTAACATCGTTTGAGAAATATATTGAGCGAACAGAAAATTATATCAAAAAACAAAACACATTTGCCGAAAAAAAAATGTCCTCTTTGTTAAGTCACGGATAATGAAACAATCCTAAAATAAAAATAAATAAAAAGTAAATGATAAAATACTATAAATAAAAAATACTGTAAATAAAAAACTATTTAGAATAGCTCGAGACAGAGACAGTTTCGCCATGTTAATCGCCAACGTCAAGGGGACTTAATAGGGCACGTTAAGAAGAAGAAATAAAAAAAATGTTTTATTACCTGGGTGTTGGTTACTAAAGAACTGCTGCCAATTGCCCCCACCCATATGTTGATGATTATTTGGTTGTTGCTGTTGCTGCTGGAATGACATTTGTGGTACATTTTGCTGCTGCTGCTGATTTGCCGGTCTGTGTTGGTGCTGAGCTCGCAATTGCTGTTGAGTAAACTGTTGGTTAGAAGAGTATTGTTGGGTATTGTACTGTGACTGAGGAACACCTTGATTGGATGTAAACTGGGGACCACCCATCACTTGCGGGTTTAATACTTTTCTCTGTTGTTGTTGCTGCTGCTGTTGCTGGAACGCTAACTGCTGCTGTGCCCTTTGTTGTAAGACTTGGTGTTGTTGGGGATTCTGTTGTCCATGTTGTCCAAAGAACTGCTCGCTTAAGGGTAGTTGGAAATTGCTGTTAGCCTTTACAATGGGACGGCCTAAAACACATCATAAATGTAGAAACAGCACGCACAGGGAGAAGATATCCCGTCAAACACATGGAAAAATGTATATTGGACGGAAACGTGTTAATAGGGCTGAAGTACTGAGGAAAACAAGCGGGAATGAGCTAAGAGTCATAACAGGCTTCCTTACTGCGCTAGGAACACTTGCATAAAATAGAATTATTTTATGGAGACCTGGGCTGCAGACTCTGTAGCAGAGAACCTGAAACAGTCAACCATATCTTGAATGACTGCGAGTCCATAGAACGCAGGTAGCAGAACGCAACTTTTGAAGACTACACGTGACGCTAAAAACATATGGCACCCATCAACTAGACCTACACGAGCTGGTACAGGGCACCAGAATGCTGGAATGGTATCATGAAGAAATTGAAGATGTAAAATAAGCCAACTGGCTGCAGTACGCTTGGTTTACAACATAGGGCTTCCATGAAAAAAAGAACCAGCGCAAATATGCAATAAAAGGTGTACATGTAAATATTTAGAATCCGTGGTGGCTCGACAAGAAAAAGGTCGAGAACGATGAACATAAAAATGAATAGAGTATATATATATATATATATATATATATATATATATATATATATATATATATATATAATAAAGTGTACCTTGATGTTTTGTGTATTGTGCACTGGTATTCCACTGCTGAACTTGCGGCTGTGGCGGTTGAGGTCTCATCCCAGTTAATGGTCGCCCTGGAGGTATTTTCCCTTCAATATTCACCTTGTTTTCTTTACCTGAAATTAAATGTCACACATTAATTAAGTAGCGATAACAAATACCTTGAGACACGATGAATTTAGTTGTAGTCTACCCAACGAGAAGGGATAGTGGGCCGAAACAACAAGACGTTGCCAAATTTATCAGGACCGGATTTTAACGTTTGCTACTAAGTACCAACCGCACAACCCGCGCAAGCAACTGAGAATATAGTCTGCTTTTATATTTATTAAGAAGGTGACCACTCACTATGCTTTTTACACTGTTTACAGTTTTGCGGTCTAGTTTATAGTTTTACAATCAATGTCGAGTTCGTCAGATCCGGAGAAGAAATTCCAAAAAAGTGGTCAAAATTACGTGCACTTAGTACTACAGAAAAAAGCGCTATTTATAATATTTATACATCAACAATGTAATCGGGTCTCCAAGCTTTAATATCGAATATATTTAGACTGCGTCTGCCAGGAAAGTAGGTGAATCTTTTGTGAACAAAATTATAAGGGAAAAGAAAATTACAGAAGGATTTTCTTCACCGAAAAATGCCCAGAAAAGCCATACTGAACAAAATTGTCGATTTTTTACAAAACTGCTACACGACGAACTATCGACAAAGTTCTTGTAGCCGTTAACGACGACGAGACTTGCCAAATTTTAAGGGCAGTACTTTTCATAAACTTATAAAATCATAAGATTTGTGTATACTACGTACGTAGGAATAGAATCTGTGCTTTATTAGAACGAGAATAGATTATTTTATGGAGGAGAAATTTTGTAAAATTATTAAAAAAATTCGGAAAACAGGAAAATGTATTATTTACATGAAACGTGGGTTCTTCCAGGCAGGCGTTTTTGTCAAGTCTCTCAGCAGATCTAAAAAATCCATCGAGCAAGAGAAAACGACTAATTATGACAAATATTGGTAGTGAAACAGGTATTGTAGAAAGTAGTCTGTGGATGTTCGCATCAAAAAAGAGTGGCGATTATCACGAGAAAATGAACTCTGCCGCATTTGAAAAGTGGTTTAAAAAAATATTTTGCACTTTTAGAAAACAACTGTATAATAGTTCTCGATAATATTATTTTCGCTGGTCCTATATACTCCTTATACTGAAATTAGGATCAATCCAGCTTTGCTCTATGCAAGGTTTCTATCCTCGCTGAGCTGGCTTTAAAACACTTGTGTTATTCTTTGACAGATACTGCCCCAGCCAAACTGCTCGAATGGACGTCCTTGAAACGAATCAGGCTGGAAGTAGGTTGACTTTCGAAATGCAGCATACGGATATGTACTAACAAAATACTTGCCCAAAAGGCAAGCCTATCGATACCACGAAACTAATAAGGGGCCTTTCACCTTCCGAGTAAGTAAAGAATCAATGAAACATTTGCGGAAAATTGACAAAACAATGATTCAAAAATCGTCTTTTTTGAGGTAACTCAGAGACATTTGACGATGGGGACTTCAACATTTTTTGTTTTTTTGCTGTCCAACGACGCCAAAACGGAACCTGAATTTTTCATTCCATTAAAAAACACATTAGTTTGAAACTTTGAAGTTACCATAAAAATGTTTGCAAAAAATATTAATTTGTTCTCGAAATATTAAATTTGTTCATTGAGAAGATTTATAATGTAAAGTGCTCATCAATAGATAGACAACAGGCTCCGTGGCTCAGTCTGGGAAAAGGCCGCCAGTCTCATGTAAAGGATAAGAGATGACGTCACAATTTCAGTAGATCTGGGAAACTTTTATGTTGGTGAAGGCGCTGCTATTAAATATTTAATTTATTTGATGGCACTTAACCTTATCGCATGCCGCTGTATATGCCCGGCAAGGACCAACTTACACCAACTTAGACCGACAGATCCGTTTCAAAGATTAGCGAAACAAATACAGGTATACAGGGTATATTCCAAAAAAGTGTACCTAATTTAACGTACAGGAGCTTGCGGAATACCTCAGGATGTCGCTGGTCTAAACCCTCGAGAATGAGGGAAGGTGGTCCAGTCGCAATATCCAGGAGCGGGTAAGGGCCACGGTCCGTGGACATATAGGCCGTATACGCATACAAGCTGTGACCCTTACCTGCTCCGGTCCATTTCAGCTATGGATAGTGCGACTGGACCACCTTCCCTCATTTCCGAGGGTTCAAGGCCAGCGACATGGCGCCCAACGTGGGGCGCCATGGTAAGGGTCACAGCCTGTGGGCGTATGCGACCTATATGTCCACGGAGCATGACCCTTACCCTCGTTCTCGAGGGTTCAGACCAGCGACAAGGAAACGATTTAACGAGTAGAATACGATGACATATAAAATCCAAGAAAGCAACGTAAAATAAAGGCCCTAAACTTATGCCTAAATGGCTTAATGTATAGAATATGATTACATAGAAAAATTAAACGTGTCGGATGTCAAAGATACCTTAGATACGTATCGTTACTTATATTTTTCCAATTTGACACAAACGTTACATTTATGCGAAACGTCATATTTTATGTGAACTTTGACGTAGAATGTGACATCTTATGTGATATTTAATACTTATGTGGACTTTTTTCGCCAAGATCTATATTTTATATATTTATTAAGGAAATATACCTTTTTAAAAATTTGCACTTTCAGAATGGCTTCTGAAAAACTGTACTATTTTTAGAGCTTTTTTTGCATAGAACTTTGGATCAAAGATATGGCACTTAAATATTATAAATACTTAATTTTACACTAATAAAAATATATTGCATACGAATTACCACAAATTGTCAGTAGTATTTGGATAATTCTACTGAAATAAATGTAAGAAACAAACTGATTAGTACGTCTTATTACTATAATATAATAAAATAATAAAAAATGGTATTGATCCTTTAAACAAACCATACCTTCATCTTTTTCAGCAGTCATTTTTCTTAATACAGAAGTAGGTGTAAAAGCCAGTGGAGTAGGAGAGGTAACATTTTTTGTCGGAGCTTGATTTAAGCCATTACTTGGACTCTGTCCCCTTTGCAATTCTTGCTTCTTTCGATAGTTCTCTTGCTGTTCTTCAAGCTTCTTCTTTATCAACGCTCTCTGCAGAATGTTCTGGGTGTGGACTTGCAGTTCTCTAGGGGATGGAATTCTTTGATGCATAGCTATATAAGAAAAGAAAGTTTAGTTAAAAAATCAAGTAATAACAAATTTAAAATAATATGCCATTGCAAGTAATTTACATTTTTAAATAATATGACATTGCAAGTAATTTACATTTTTATTTAAATGGTAAATTTTTTGTTTACATCTATATTTTTTTTTTAAATAAAGTATTGTTTTATTGACATACGAAATTTGTTTTATTGTGTTATTGCACAGTTTGTGCTATCATTCTTGAAGTAGAAGTCCTAGTTTTAAAAATTGGTAATAGGTTTCTCTTTGTTAAAATTTGGTATCAGTGGTCAAATGTAACCAAAGCTGCAGATAATCCAAATATAGAAGACAAAGTGTCTTGAAACTTAGTAAGTACATCATTCCTTTAGGACATAAATACGCAGTGTGCCAAATTTGGAGTCAAAAGATACAGAATATGCAAAAATATACATCCAATATCGTCGAATTACATCAGTTTAACAAAAGTGTCAATTGCGAGCATATATTGTAGGTTAAAATTCCACGTCCTTCGAAACTCTGTTGTATTAGTTTAATTTAGTTCCTACTTTTATCTCTCTAGTTGAATGTAATATTTGTTATTATTCTTTAAATCATCTGTTTGATATTTATCATTAAGTTCACACGTTTTGTACTCTTCTAAAACTGTTTATTCCTCAATTATGTATTTATTGAGAATGACAAAATCAATACTAACTGATAATGACTATAATAGCTTCTTATATTTAATGACGTTATCTTCTTAACTATTAAAAGTATTCTAAATGAAAAATTTATATGATTTTATAGTAAATTGTAAAATACCTACAATATCAAAAATAGCCTAGTTAACTACTAGTGTAAAAAAATACAGTGAACGTGTGTACCACTCACCAGGTACTGTCAACGTATTGGGACTTGTAGCCAATATTGGAGACACACAGTATGCTGCATGAAACAATATATTTACTGCTTCAACAGAAAACTGATTTTTAACATGCACGCTACGAATATACATCTATAGCGGTGAAAAGAAAACAACAATGCGTGGGTGGTAGCAGGTTACAAATAGATAGAAAGCTGGGCGTGCAGACACAAAGCTTTTTACATAGACAATTGTGTTGTGTGGTAGAGAGGAATATTTACTGTACTGCGAACATTCTTAAGTAAAAAATGTAAGACGTAAACATTTTAAAAATGTACTGAGCATGTTTATTTTAATTATTCATTATGTAGACTTAATTTACCTTTTCAAAATATAATAACCATATTTTTTGAAGATTTAAAGATTGTATAGGGTAATAAATATATCCGTAGATTTTATAATTTGGAGGTTAAAAAATATATTTCATTGTTCGGTCGAAAAATTTAATAGGAACGTGCATATTGTTGAATTACTTAAAACCATGATTTCTAAAGTGGACTGGATCATAAAAAAAAATCTATTGTTGTCATGAAGAAACTAGTTGTCATGAAGAAACTAGTTGTCATGAAGAAACTAGTTGTTTCATATTTTTAATCATGACAGCTTTAGCAGCGACAACAATGTTAGTCACTTTTAATCACAATGAGTTTGATACGTCCAATTTATTTCGGTATCTAGTGTAACGTTATAAACGTCACATCTCTATTAATATACATTTAAATAATGATTTCATTTTAGTTTCTTTATTAATTTATTAATTATTTTACCCCCAGCTTCGCTTTTACTATTTTTTATTTAAAAAGTAGTTGGCGCCTTCTCTTTCTCCCTCTGTTTTTCTGTTCTTCCTCTGTCTTTCTTTTCTCTCTCTTTCTGTCCCGTAGAATAAATATTCGCCCTCTCTCTTTCTGTCCAACAGACTAAATATTCTGTTCTGTGTTAACAGACAAGCTAATTTCATGATATAGCAACATCCTGACATCTGTGCTAACTTCATTTGGTCTTCCTACTTTCTGTCAAACAACTTTTCTAACGTAGTGGGAATATAATTTTTTGCCTGTGTTTAAAATTTATAAAAGAAGGCAAAAATTATTATGACTCATTTTATGGTCTACAATATTCTCTTGGGGTAAGTACTTTCATTGTAATCTTTATTCTATAATTCTGACGGCATTTTCAATATTCATAACCTTACTTCTTTCGAAACCACACTTCTGATTATGATTTTTTCTCAATTATATGCATGTAGGACTTGTTCACAGAATTTAACTAAGTAATAATAATTATATTTTATTTTATCCTTGCCATTTGTTTAATTGTAATTTTGTAAAATGGCAAGGAAGTTAAATCCTTTTTGATGTGTCACTAATACAAGCTGTTCCTTATATTTTAGTTTATTGACCACATTCCTTATATATTAGCGAAATACGATTGTCTAGTAAAGTCACATTATTTTGAACCTTTCGAATCTCGGAACTCTAAGAGATATTGTTTCCATCTTTGACTAGAAAGGATACGACCTTACAGGCGTTTAGGCATAATCCCACTGCATTAGTGCGTCAAGCAAATGTCCAACCTGCGGTTCCTCCCGTACTGAGCAGGATTACTACCGCAACGACGAGTCATCAGTAGGGTAAAACTAACCTGTCTCACGACATCTAATCCCAGCTTACGTTCCCTGTCTATGGTATACAATTCAACGCTTGGTGAATTCTGCTTCGCAATGATAGGAAGAAGGATCAAAAAGAGACGTCGCTATGAACGCTTGGCACAAGTCAGTTATCTCTGTGTTAACTTTTCTGACACCTCTTGCTGAAAACTCTTCAAGCCAAAAGGATCGATAGGCCGTAGTCCCTATGCATACTGAAAAAACTCAGGATGTGACGTCATATTGATGTCAATTTTTTGGTTTGGTAAAATATTTTACCGCCTAAAACGGCCTTTATAGTTTTATCAAGCAGGCAGGTATAGTTGTTAGAAACTCAGTGTCAGAATTTTGTTAATAGCTTGCCATTGAAGGTTGATTATTTTATATTATTAATTACTTCATTAATTATTAATATATTATGATTAATAATAAGTAATTATTAATTACTTATCTTTTGATAAATCAACGAGTTCTTCACTGGCATTTGAAAACATTTTAGTTGGTAGATAGCCTTGAATTGAGCCACAAAATAAATTGATCCTGTCGAGCTTTTCCATTTCTTCCTTAAGTATGTGTTAACATTATTTTATAAAATAATAAATGAATGGAAATTGCAGAAAATACATTCATATTTGGCTGTACTTGATTTTTATGGAAAAAAATCGGCACTGTAAATATCGAAAACTGGATCAATATAAAACATCGCATACAAATGCCGACATTCATTTAAAATATACTTCGTATTCGGTTAATTATTATCTTACTGAAGTATCTGCCAAGATACCTTATTCTTAAGAAAAAACCTCTTACGTTTTTCATTTACCTCATTATTTTAAATATAAGGATGAATATTTTAAAAATTTTCATTTTGTAAATAGAAAATTTTACGAGTAAACATTATAATCATGATTATAATAAATATTATAATCATCAATAAATAAATACATTTCCATACAATTTTTCAAAATCAAAAATAATAATCTTGTCACTACTAAAATATTACATGCTCATTTACATTATTTAAAACAATATAAGTCTTACAATTTAAAACTCTGTTTCATCAAAATTGATGAAGAATAAAAAGGTGACATTTTTCTATACTTCGTCATTTGCTTTTAGTATGCGATCCCACCGAAGGATCACTGCGTCCATAACGTAGTTAATCAAACTCACATTTTTACATACATTTAAAATTAGTAGACTACATTGATAATAGGTTGCCAGTCAAAAACTGGCCGCAAATATTTTTAATTCAATTAAGAGTAATTAGTTTTTGAACAAAAATTTTAAAATTTATTTGATTTATTTTTAAATAAACTACTCTGCCCACTGTAACTGGTTTGACACGTGATACTACGTATATTATTTTATTTTTACTTGTATATTATTCGCTGTGTGCAAGTACTTGGAGGGAATACGAGAAACAGTCGTTATTAGCATATTTCATACGTAGTTATTGAAGAAAATGGATTTCGCAAATGCTGTATTATAAATTGTAAAAATACAACAAAAAATAGTAAATTCAAATTCTATCGGTTTACAACTTCTAAGCACAAATTAATGCAACGAGTAAAGTAGATTTATATCATAATAAAGCAGAAGTAAATATGTAACATAATCCAAATTATGCATTCTTACACTCGATTTCGTAATAAGTTTGACGTGAACATTAAAGTCCACTTTAAAGTGTGAATTTCAATAATATAAAGTTCACTTTAAAGTGTAAATTTCAAAAATAATCATGTCGTTTCAAGTTTGTTTACAATTTTATTTTTTTTTTCAAATTAAAAAAAAATGCTAAAAATTTCTTTAAGTTTGGATTATGGCACCCAAAAGTTGACAGGAAAAGAATTAATTATTTAAACCCATGTGATGTAAGTTTCTTTGAAAGGTTTGGATTGACAAAAGATACAGTTATGTAATTTAGTCTAAAATGAACAGAGCAGAATCCAGTTTTTATATTGCATCCATATTAATAGTAATACAGCAATTTAATAATTAATTTTATTTACTACATACAATGTTTACCTTTTAATAACCTCATAACATCAGATAAAGAAATCTAAACCTAAAAAAATACTTACGAATTTTTACAGTTAAAAATCAATTCAAAATTTTTCAATTATTGTATTAAATAAACAAATTTATTTGCAGCTAATATAAGACTAAAATATTAATAGTGCTCTCATTTATGTCAGATATTTTATTTTTCAATTTCCATTGACTAAATATTTTGTACTCTTTGTCGTACAATGGTCGAAATTGAAGCGGCAATAAATTTTCAGTTGTCTTTACAGCACTTTCTCGAATATTTTCTGGGAAATCCATCACTGAATATAAATTCAACTGACAGTGAAAATAGTGAAAAATAAAATCTTGTATGTACCACTGGTATTACCGGATAATTACGACCTTCGAGCAACATCCATCCCACGGTACAGAGACCGTCTGGCTGGATTATATTGCTCTCCCAGCGGTATCATCTTAATAACAACCATGGTGCATAAATAACTAATATATCTATCGACGTATGCTTTAATCTTTCACATAATTGACCCTTCAAACCAGTAGTTTTTTACTTTATCTTTGATACCTCGCGTTTTTAACAGCTGGTAACCCTAATTTGCGACCATTTCTTCTTATATCATATACCTTATATCATCATACTAATAAAAAAATTAGCTTTAATGTGATATAAAAAAATATGCATAAACCCCATGAGCAGCGTATTTTATTTAAAAAATAAATGAACAAAAAATATTTTTGTCAAAAATTAATTAGTATAAATGGATTTAAAAATATTTGCGGCCACTTTTTGACTATACATATAAATGTATATAAAATTGTGAGTTTAATTAACTACATTATAAACGTAGTGATCCTGCAGTCGGATCTAAAGACTATTACAGCAAAAAATATTTCAATAAGAGAGGGTGTCTCAAAGAAACGGATGTTACTAAAATGCGCAGTTGTTTTAAATCGCATCACATTTTGATAAAAATAGTAATGTATAATAATTCATCATTTAATAATAAATAAGGAAGAATAAAATTGTAATTGCCAGTTTGGAAACCACATTCAGATTTTAGAATTTCTTAAAAAATAATGTACAGAACATGCAGTCTTGAGAAAAAAATCAGGATTAATTAAAAAAATTCAAATTTTATATTCAAACTTAATCTTCCTGTGAACAAAGTTCAGGTGCCGTTCTCGAATTTTCCTTAAAATTCGCGTTGTCTGCAATTATTGTTCGTTCTGGGCTTCAAACCCGCTCTGACAAACATTTTGATACAAAATTTACCAACGTTCTTTTGAATGAGCTTGAGAGATAACTAGAAGATTACCTCCCCTTGGTAATTGAGTATCTGCCCGCATCATTCCTGCAAGATCGAGCCCAATATTATTTCGTCATTTTGATGAGACAATATTAATACAATTAGGCATATTCGGTAAAAATCTACCCGCATCATTCCTGCAAGATCGAGCCCACTATTATTTCGTCATTTTGATGAGACATATTAATACAATTAGGCATATTCGGTAAAAATCTTTAAGTATAAAAAAAGCTTCAACTGGTGATGAAATTCCACCCTCAGAAATTGCTCAGTGAACTGAAACTTTATCAGAAACTTTCGCTTTTTCTTTAAACTTAACGTCATTTGGATAGTTTTTATTAATAAAGGTGTCAAATCCATTGTTACTTGTCTTCCAACGGGTTAGTTATCCAGAATAATAATTCCTGCCAACTAATAAATCCAGACTGCCAACGTCAGAGTGGTAAAATAATTTTCTGAGGATATAGAGATACAAAGAGGAATAAGACAAGTAGCACTGAACGCTAAAAAACGAAATTTATGACAATTGCAAAAACAACAATAAAAAGTAATATAAGCAAGAGAAGGAGTTGCTAATGAGAATAACGACTATATAGAAGAAATAAAGAGGAGATTTGGACAAGCTGCAGCAATATTTAATACAATGAGAAAAGTGCCATACACCTGAAATTAAGAATATTGCACTAGAGCTGGAAGCAATGGAGATGTGAACCTATAGAAGAAAAATAAATAATAAATAAAATTAAGATAAGATGGTCACAATATTTGGGTCATATGATGAGAGGAGATTACACGGAGACATACAAGGAAAGAGGAGTATTTCGAAGAAGACATTTTCTTATTAAACAACCTGAAAAATGTTGTAAATGCAGATCCGAAGAACTGTTCAGAGATGCAGTGTCAAAAGTGAAAATGGCCATGTGGCCACAAAATTGATATTTAATATTTTTGCTGTATCCTTGTTTTTCCAAATTTCTTGCTCATAGTTATCTCTGTTATTGATGGTATTACTCAGGTATTTAAATTACCGATTACTTCATATCTGGCAATGATTTAAGTGTTTTCTTCTTAGGGTGCCTGTCCTTTCCGAACGTTGACGATCATTCTGGCTATAATGACTATTGTTGCTATACGAAATAGCTGTGTTGAGGTCTTTCTATACCATGCTCTCAGGTTAGCAAGCCAGGATATTCTTCTTCGTCCTGGGGCCCTTTTTCCTTCAATTTTACCTTGTATGCAATGTATACAATGCATTGAAGTAGCTCGTATATGATTAGCACATAGTGTTATTGGCTCTGACAATAATCATTACCTTGTCTTGGAATATTATTCTTAATCCATGTTCCTCACTTCAGGTGCAGAATTCGAAATATTATTTAGTATTGAAAGCGCACAATAAAAAAATTGAATATTTCGAATTGTATATTTTACTACAACATAGTAATATTTTGTTTGCGGAATCTACATCACTTGTAGTACTTATACAGCTCAACTTTGCTCTTCTGAAAGGTCATGAATAAACTTTAAATCATGTTATTGATTTCACCGCTCGAAGAGAACATGAATCATTAATATCTTGTCAACATTATGCTAATTAAAAAGAAATGCAAATATAGAAAATAATATATTATTATATTTCTAATATAGAAAAAGTTTTCTTTAAACACGATAATTGTTGTATAGTAGAAAGCTACATTTTGAGACACCCTTTCAAATCAATTTACCACACAACGAGGAGTTCACAATCAGGAAAGGCAACCAAACACGTGCAAGGCTATGTACACTGCGTTAAGAATACATCCAGCCCTGCAACTCACCGTTTGGGGGAAGGGGCGATACTCGCAATTGCTGTTGCTGTTGTTGTTGCTGCTGCTGAAACATGTGATGTGGCGGTACTGGGCTAAGCACCCTGGGACTAGGACCAAAACCGCCGCCCCCATGGTACTTTAATACATTTATCAACATTTCCCTATGACGAGGTTGTAGTGCTGGGTTAGCCAGCTGTTGGTAGAGATGTTGGGTGGTGATTTCACCCCGTTTCAGACCTTGATTTTAAAGTAATATGAAAATTTCAGCAAAAATTATCTAGATCGTGTAAAAACGTTAAAATGTAATCATGTTAAAAAAGTATAAATTTCATGGGAAGGAAGAATGCATGAGCTCCTGGGAAAAATTAAAGCAGCCCTGTATTAAACTAACTAGCAATTAAATTTTATATAGTAATCTGAAGAATATTTTCTTATTTTTCAATTAGTGCTTTTATCATTTAGTTGTACTCCCTTGGTTAATAGTTAGTTGAGCATCCACTTATAGCAGTGATGATCTCCAGAATGGTGATGTTTCTTCAGACTATAAACCCCTTTTCAACAGGAAATCAGTTGTGAAGCAAGATTAATTGGATTTTGAATTTTAAAATAAAATATCATCTGCTTAAAATGTTAAATAAAATTTATAAAAAACAGTGGTGGTGCGTTAACTTTTGGCCAGGAGTTTAACTTTATTGGGATATTCTAGAAACGAATTTTCAAATGTATTTCTATAACGAAACATTTCTTTTTATTTAAAAATACAATTGCTGATGCGAGATGTGGTTTATGAACAAAATTCGGATTTTTTTGGCATATTAAGATGGCTTTTATTATATGCAGATTTGCTATATACAGAAAAGTCAAATTATGCTGAAGTTCCAGTTCCGAGCTGCTCCAGTTCGTCTTCCGTCTTTATTTGAAATATAAGCATAAACTTTTAACTGTGTATATTTTTAACTGAGCTCTATTTAATGTCATTGTCAAAACTCTATCTGAGTGAGTAGTACCTACTTCGTTTCTGTAGGTGAGAATCACCTACAGAAACGAATTGTAATTGGTTAGGAGCGTTTTTTATTGGTTGGAAATATGAGGCTCCTATTTATATTTCAGACCTAGCCTAGGCCACATTAAAGTACTGCCTATTGACATCTGACATTTTTACTGTAATTTTGACATTTTAAAGCATACAGGCACTCAGGACGTTTTGACGTATGAGCAATACGTGAGTATTTATAGTCAGAAACTGACAGATTGACATTATTGTTCATTAATTCAGTAACGAAATTATACACAGAAAAGAAAACAATTTATTTCAAATAGAATTTATAAAAAAATAACCGACGAAAAATTAAAAAAAAAACAGAAAAATAAAAACACCAGTAATTTTAACCTATCTTACTTAAGTAAGGTGTTCAAAACGACCTCCCAAAACATCTATGCATACTTAAAAGCGGGCATTGAAAGAGTTGCTTACATTACTAAGCATTTGTAAAGAAATATTTTGAAATGCAATTCGGATTCTATTTTTCATATCATCCCTTATTGTTGGAGGTATTTTATATACTTCGTTCTTAACGTAACCCCAAAAAATGAGTTCATTTTATTGAATTCTGGTGACTTTGGGAGCTACCTTACCGGTCCATCCCTTCCGATCCATCTTTCACCAAACTGATCATTAAGTTCACCACGTACTAATTCGTTGTGGTGCGCAGGAGCACCGTCATGTAGAAACCACATTTGGTTCACGTATATTAAGTGAAACCTCTTCTAATAATATCGGTAACTGATTTACGATAAAATCTAAATAAATCTCACCATTTATGTTATCTTCAAAAAAATATGGTCCTACTACATGGTTACCGACGATACCTCCCACACATTTAGAGATCTTCTTGTTTGACTATGTATTACTATGTGGTATGGATTACTTATTGGATAGGAGTGAAAGTTATGCCTATTAACAGAACCGATTCGATGGAATGTAGGTTTTCTCACCAAATAGGACATAATCAAAAAAATCTCTCTGCTCGTTCATTTTTTCTAAGACTCATTCACAAAATACTATTCGTTTCTGAAAATTATCATTATTTAATTCTTGTTGCTTTTGAACATGATAAGGGTACATCTTGTTTTTAGATAGAATCTTTTGAACAGAGTAGTAACGAAGTTCTTATTGGAATGCTCCAATGCTCCTGGTGTTCATTGGAAATACTCCTTATACTTGTGTGTGGGTTTTCTGTAACTGCCATTAACACACTCATTTCGTTTTCCTCTGTCACACTATGTTTTTGTTAGTTCATGTTTTTCATAATTCATTGAACCAATGCGGTTAAATCGATATTTCAATTTTTCAAATGTATCTTGTTTAGGTTGCCGCCTATCTGGAAACCGTTCTTGATAAATTCTAGCTGATAGTAATGAATTTTTATTGCATTCCCCCAATATCCAGATCATATCTACCATTTCATCAGTAGTAACATTCCTTATTGCTAATTTAAATTGAATTAATTACTGAATTACTAAATAATAATTGTTGCTAATTTACGGTGTACCCCAATAATGAATTAATAAACAATAATGTCAAAATATCAGTTTCTGACAAATCGATCATGGCCAACTCACAATAATTATTGGTAAATGTTAAAATATCTATCAAATTAATACTTTGATGGAAAAAATATCTAGAAAACTGATAACTTTAGGTGTATAGGAAGTACTTCATAAAATTTGAAGTACGATATTAGTACTTTTCGATAGTGATATAAAATACAAGGTGTTCTATTTAAAATTACCAAGAAAATAATGTACCTGCATTTTGACTTACACTGTATTTGATTTAACGAATATTATGAAAACGAATATGTTTTATAATTTTTAACAATTATTAAAAAACTATGGTTGCAATAGATCAATGTTCCTATACTCCTTTTTAATTATACAGGGAGGTAAACTTTATACGATTTTCAGGTAATATTGGTTATAACTTTTTAAATACAAGGTATAACATAATGAAACTTTACATTGTTATGATGTGAAAGTGAAGCAGATTTAAAATTTAAAATAAAATACAGGGTGTTCCGTTTAAATAAACATAAGTTTGGTCTGCCACCATCTTATGGAACACCCTATAAGATTGTAACTAATTTTAAAATGTGGAGTTTAAAGCTGCTTACAATTTTTGTCAATAACTTTTTTTTTGTAATTTTTACTATAACCGATCTATTGAACTTCCTCACACTAAACGATCACCCTGTAGACTGACAAAAGGTCAAAAAGAGGCTAGTGTCAATTAGTGCAAGAAATGGGATCGCGGTACATCAACTGCTGTATATAACATCTACACAGGTGACGAAACATAGATCGATGCAATCCATCAAAAGTTGTTGATGGAAGAGCACATCGAAACAAATGGTAGCTTGTTTTTTTTTGTATAAATGGTCATGTAGCTACAGTGCCACAAGAATGTAAAACGGTCAATTCTAAATGGTATACAATGATTTGTTTGTCAGAAGTTTTCAGTGAAACTCGGAACAAGGGTAATAACAGACGAATCATTCATCACCACGGCAATGCAAGCTCACACACATCAGCACACGTAACGTAGTTTTTGATTTGCCAAAACATCGAATGAACGGGTCATCCGCTGTACTGTCCTGATTTGGCACCCAATGACTTCTTTTTATTCCCGCACATCAAAAATAAATTGCGTGGTCAAGGATTTTCGACGCCCGAGGAAGCAGTAGAAGCGTTCAAAACCCATGTTTTGGAGTTACCTCAATGTGACTGGAAAAACTGCATCTAAAATTGGTTTAAACGCATGCAACAGTGTATTGATGTTCATGGAGAATATTTTGAAAAGCAATAGAGCCATTTTTGACAATTAATACTTCTTATATATATTTTGCCTTGTTAGACCAGAAATATAACTAGCAACCTCTCGTAGGTTCCACTTCTAAATTTTTATGCTTCGAAAAATTTAATTTTAAACACGCTGCACCTTTTTTATTAACATTTTGTACAAGTAATCTACAGTAATATTTAAAGTGAGGAATCTACTATATGTTATTTCTATGTACAATTATTCAAGAACCACCCTAAACATTAAGTTAAAACCAAAAACACCTGCAATTTCATCACATTTTATTAGAACGTAGCTCTTTTGTGTTTTTATCAATACTTCTTATTTAGATGTGAAAAATATCATTTCGATGGTTTGCTATAAAACATTTAAAAAGAACACTTACCTTGAAGGATAGCCTGAGCCTCTGGTCTGTTAAGTAAGTCTCTGCTCTGCTGTACGACCAAATCGTGCAAAGGAGAAGCTCTTAGTTGCTGAGGATGTACAGAAGTAGTTGCATTAATCAACTTGTTCAATATATCCATTTGGTTCTGTTGAAATTGGGCTTGCTGTAATTTCATACTGAGATCATTTGTCATATGTTGATGATGTTGCATACCGCCCCTGTTTGAATTAGAAGGAGCAAGAAGATGCGGGTTGCTTCCAGACATTCTTGCGGCTTCATCTTGTTGTTGAGAACGATCTAACATCTATAACAAATCATATTCAATACCCAGAAATAATGTATGTTTTATGAGTCAAATAAAATAATAAATAAGTACACTCGGCCTCGATCTTGCTGTTAGATAGCCATGGGTTGAGTTGTTTTACCTATCGACTCATGGTAAAACTTAAACTATAGTTTTGCCTGCAAGATCAAGGCCGAACGAGTTTCCTGTCAATTTGGTCAACCGCCAATAATACACAACAAACAGGTGTAAACCTTCTTATTTAAATTTTTTTAAAACAATTTCCGGAGTGAAAGTCGAAACGTAAGACTAGCTTTACAAAAGGCCACTTTAGAAAAAATTACAAACAGAACATGGTTCACCGATAAAAACATGTAACAGTAAGTAACCAAAAGGACAAAATCAAAAAATTAAAAAACTGAAATTTAAAATCCTAAATAATGATTAAAAACTGTTTAAAACGTTACCTCCAATAAGCTCATAGGTTGGGTCTTGTTCATTGAAGTATTCATGGACGTAGGATGTCCTCCAGCTTGTGCTTGTTCCAACTGAAAAAAAATAACATTTTTGAAAAAACATTTGTGCTTTATATTAAATATAAAGGTGTCTATCGATTAAAAAAGTGCATCTGAAATATCTTCAGTGATAGATATTTATTTGGACATGAACATCTATACAATCTAAAGCCACCTAACTTTGTTTAAAAACTGTATGTTTTTAATTGAGTAAAATATCAGAATAAATACATGCTTTACGAGTATATTTGCAGACATCTTCCTTCTAGTATCACCTTATTCTCATTCATTTTTAAGTATTATTGTCATTAACACTCGATTTCGCTTTTGTCAAAACAGCTCGAATTCTATCGCACAAGCTTTACGTTTTACAACAGATGGCGTATATTTATATTATTTTCTATAATTAATTTGTTTGATATAAGATCCAGCCGTGACAAGGTTTTAAATACAACAGGCAGAACTCTTTCTGACTTTATGGATACAATGGATACTTTTTTGTGAATAAACGGGAGAGCCACTTCAGATTCTCCCGCTCAGTTCACTTTTGCTAATTCCCTATACTCTAATTCCACTATTTGGAAGAGTGATTCATCGTTTAAAGACGGAGAAAGCGCAAATTGCAATAGAGAAAACGGGTAGTTTTCGAGGGCCGCTGTGTACATTTAAATTTAAGGATATTCGCCGTTTAAAACATGAATCACTCTTCCAAATAGTGGAATTATAGCATAGGAAAAAGTCATTGGATCTGGATAAACAGTCTTTACTTAAATGCAGTAGACGATTTACAGATTCATACAATCCCTTCTTCGTCTGATCACTTTCCAGTAACCTGTAAGCTCTAATATTATTATAGCGAGATTCCTGCTTTAAATCATAATATTAAATCATACGTTTTGAAACTTCCGCAGGATTCATACAATCAGACAGATTCATACAATCCCTTCTTCGTCTGATCACTTTCCAGTAACCTGCAAGCTCAAATATTATTGTAGCGAGGTTCCTGCTTTAAATCATAACAATACCATTAAATCATACGTTTTGAAACTTCCGCAGGAACAATGTAAGTCAAATTACAAATGCTAAATTCCCCTAGAGTTACATTTATACCTAACAAGGATGTTACTTACAATAATTTTCTTGACTCGGTAAACGAAACTGCCACTGAACTGAAACTTCATATTTTTAAAATAAATAGCAATAATAACAGAATACAACAGCCTTGTTGTGCCTTGAATCACCCCTATTTCGACATCTCAATGACTTTGAGGAAGTATATACACAGTTCTCAACAGCTGCAAATGCAACAAATCTCCTAGTTCTGAAAGGGTCCCTTACGAATTCTTAAAACACTCCCTAATAACTGGATCTTATATCTAACTTCACTTTTTAATAAAATACTTGAGGACGTTCCTTCATCCTGGGGTAATACCATCACAACAGTAATACATAAAAAACGACCAAAGGAAGACCCTAATAATTACCGAGGCATTTCGTTATCAGCATTGAGCAAGTAATGGAGACAAATTACCTAGGAATTACAGTGTCTAGCTACGGAGATGTGGAGAAGGAAGTGAAAAATCAAGTACAAAAGGCTAATAAAATAGCAGGTTGTCTTAATAACACAATATGGCGCAATCCCCACATTAATACCGACGTGAAATCAAGAATCTACAAAGCAACAATAAGACCAATAATGATATACACTTATAAACAGCGGAGATGCGTTTACTGAGGAGAATTACAGGAAACACACTGAGGGATCGAATGAGGAGTGAAGAGATCAGAAGAAAATGCAATATACCAGAAATAAATGAGTGGACACTGAACAGAAAAAAGGAATGGAACGAACACATAAACAGAATGGAAGAGACCAGATTAGTCAGAATAGCGAGGGACAAATCACCAAAAGGTAAAAGAAGTATCGGGCGACCACCCAAAAGATGGAGTGATAACCTCCAATACAGGCATTAATCGACATTGAACAAGCATTTTGCTTATAAAAAAGAAGAAGAAGAAGATTTCGTTAATAAGTTGTTTATGTATATTTTATATAACCGTCTCATGTTATGGTGCGAGCAATTTGCTGTACTTTCAGAATGTCAATCAGGATTTCGACCGAATAGAAGCTGCACTGACAATGTATACACACTCTCCTCCGCTATACAAATACAGCCCCGGCTAATGTTTTTGCCATATTCGTTGACTTTAAATGTGCATTTGATAAAGTTAATTTTCAGGTAATATTAAATAAACCAAAAGTCATTATACCAAAGTTCACTGAATCTCCACAAATAAACTCTGTTTTACTTAAATCCATATTGAGTGACTATAATGATCTTGTAATAATATATACCGCTGTATATATTATTACAAGATCATTATAGCTATCATAATCAGCTGAAATTAGCTAAATTAAATAATTAAAGCAGTTATATTATAACATTCATTATCGGTCATTAAACTCAAGGATTAAACTCAAACATGACTCAACATAAAAGAAATAGTCTTTGTGTTATTACAAATAAAATATATAGTAAAGATATTCCAGTTATTTGGGTAAAAAGTCGCACTAGCATCAAGGGAAATGAACTGGTTGACCAGTTTGCTAAAGATGCTGTCCATGTTGGATTATATGTACCTATATTGACATTAGATGACTTACAACATTATAATAACAGAATTTTAATAAAATGGAGAGCAAAATGGAAAACTTAGCAATGGACTCAAATAATCAGTAGTATACCACCTACCCACTTATTTTATAATTATGTTTATAGTCCAGCATATACCAAGAGCAGTAGATTGAGTTCACACAAAATAAACATGTTTTAACACTTACCAATTTTTTAAAAGCTGCTGCCATGTCTTCGTCTGGTTTCTGTTGCTGATGTTTTGTGGGAATACCCGTTGAAGTGTCTTGGCGAATTTTTGCCTCTAACTCTTCCAAATTAAGAATTTTTCCTGCTGTTACTGGTTGTTTCATGGGGTCAGGTTGCTGCTTCCCTCTTTGCAACATGTCCATGATATTCATGGCCTGAGACTGTTGTTGGAACTCCCTTTTTCCGCCTACGATTCCCCCTAGAAAATAATACAACAAATTTCATCAAATTATGTATAAACCCTGTTTATTGTAACTTCGGACTGGTACGACACTATAAAAAATAGAACAATTGTTCGATGAGTCAGAAGTGTCTCGTATGTTTTGTATGCGTGTTGAGTATCGAGAGTGGGATTTTGATTATATTTTATATCAGAGAATGTAATAAAGTAATTGTACAAGGTGTTACAAGTGTAAATAAATAGAACAGTGACTCTAATTCACGTTACAAGTGGTGACAGGAACTGGTTTAACGTTTAAATAATTTATATATTAGACATATTGTGACAGAAGCTTCATTAGCAAGGCATCGGATTTTTTCGTGAGTATAAAAACCTTTGCAAATAATCTGAATACATTATTTGTTCAATTTTCAGTAATAGAAAAATCAAGCTAGTGAGAAGTAAACCTTTTTTCATCAAAACTGTATAGAGGAGTTGAAATATGCAGTATAAGATATTACAAAAAAGACTCATATAGGAATTCATCAATTTGTTAGTGGAAATATTTAAAAAAAAAACAATCCAAATGTTAAACTCAATATTTTTTATAACTTAAAACTCGTCTATTCCATGATTTGAAAATAAGATTCACAAATTGAGATAAGATAAATTAAAATAGGATGATAAAAAAAGTTATTGCAAAATCAACAACAAAATCGTGTTTGAATTCTCTGCAAAAGATGGTCTAGATCGGTTGAATAAATCGGCAAAACTGCCTAAAGAAGTCTTTTTAACTGAAAGAATTGCATGATCAGTAACGAGTATTCCCCCCTCTAGCTCTTGTTAGTGCTTGCATCCTTCTCGGCCTGCTTGCAAGTAAATTTTGGACATATCCTTGGGAAATTGTATTCCATTCATGCTGTGCAGCAAGCCGAAGCTGCTCTATCGTATTTAGAACGAGATTTCTTTGTCGTATGCGGCGTTTTAGGTGATCCCACATGTAATCTATTGGATTTAAATCCGGGCTAAACGGTGGCCAATCCAATCTTCGAATTTGAACCTTATTAAGATAATTACGCACTATAGCAGCGGTATTTGGTCGAGCATTATCGTGCATTAACATGAATCTTTTAATCCAATGTAACTAACATATAGCAAAACATGATCTTGCAGGATGTTTTAAAGGTAAGAGTCACCAGTGATCCGTCCAATGACTTCGTTATCCAACTCTTCTGTAGACGTGGTTTTAACCATTTGGCTTACATAATAGGATTCTGGTCTGATCTCTGAGAACATTTTTCCAGTTATCGATATTTTACTGGCATTAAGTTCGCTTCTTTTAATCTTTTTCTGAACTCACATTAACTTGTCTAACTTTTAACAGCCCATTTCTGAAGTGCATCGATGTCAATGAACCATATCGTGTAGAATTAAAAACCAAAAAACAATCATCAATTGCGGTTGTGCACCTTGGACGTCCTTGATCAGGCCTTCGTACAAAATTTCCTGTTCCGCGGTACCTTTTTAAAGTATTCGAAAATATAGATTGACTTCTACTCGATAGAAGTCGTGCGATATCTTTTTGTACATATTCTTCCTCATACATAATTACAATCTGTGCTCCTTGGGCTTCATCGCAGTGTCGAATTGGAGACATACTTATGTTAAACTTAGTTAAATCAAAACAATATTTAATTAACCTTAATAAATTAAACAAAAAATATCCGAACTCGTATGATTTTTCCTTTGCATGAAAAAGGTTTTTTATGATAAAATGTACGAATGACACTAAACGCTGAATAAACGTCCAAATATTTCAAAACAGTTGAATACATCAGCCTACTATATAAGTATCATCAGTAATCTAAAATTATGTTGAAATAATAGTGACTACAAAAAAATTGGAAAATTCCAAAATATTCGATATTTTTGTCCATGAGTTTATGATGACTAGAAACGTATTGACCGAGAGTATTGAATGGATGTCAACAACCGCTAATTTATGACGCTACCCGTGACGACGCCATCTTGTGGCGCTAGTTCCGTGACGCTCCCCTCAGCACTTTACCGTAGAGAAAAAAATTAATACAGTGCCAGTATAGAAGCTTCGGTTCAATAAAAAAAAATAATAAAAAAACGACATAAGAAAAGATTTGTACATGCCGTAGCTAGTGCCGCATAGCTACAGAACAATAGACAAAATATAATAAGTGTGAAAATACAATGAGTTGGCGCATAACGAGACCATAAATTTGGATTTACGACAGGTTAGTTTTTCTGGTAAATTTTCGACATATTTAATTTTTTTTACTTACCTGTATTGGCAGCGGGTGAAATGGGAGCAAAGTAAGCCTCAGAATCTCCAGGAATAGTTACGTTTGGTTCCAGATCTTTTAATAAATTATTAATTAGATGGTCATCGTGTAGAGATGAGCGACGGCTTTCAGGTTTTTCTGGACTTTCTTGTTTAAACCACCTACTGAAACGGGACTTTGAATTATCTCCATCAGCGCCAACTCCGTTCTAAAATGAAAATAGTATTTAATACACGGGATAACCCCATTAACAGTTTAAATTGCAATATACAATCAGTTAGGATTCTACACTTGAAATTACTTATAATATAAAATCACCATTAAAAAGTTTAAAAAATGAGACTAAAAATCTTACATACTAAAAAAAACAAACAAAATATAATAAGAACAAAATTCAACAATCCCAATATACATATCAAAAGACAAGAGATCTTTTTAACTGAGTTAGTTATATTGAAAATATTAAAATCGAGAACATTTAATAGCCCCTGTAATCTATCTAATCGGGTTGTGAATACCATAGGTTGTTCTGTGAAAAAGAATATTGCAAACATTGTGGTAACGTAAATCTTGATGGGGAACATTAAAGTTAATCTGGCTTAACACGTTTGGACAATCAATAAATCCATGTATGATCTTATGTATAACTATATATAGCTCCTTACATATCACGACGGTTCTTGAGTGAGGGTAAATGTAATTGTTCAATACGGGAATAATCATGATTTTTATAGGGTGACCAAATAACTGAAGAGTATTCCAAAATAGTTCTAACTAAGCAACAATACAATAATCTTGTTGAATCAATGGAGAAATACTAGCAATTCCTAATAACGAAATCAAGAAGTTTAGATGCGTTTATTGAAATAGTTTATGTGGTCACAGAAAGTAAGCTTCCCATCAAAAATAACTCATCTTGTAAGCTTGATCTTTTAAGCCATCTATAACCTTCCAAAATTTTAATTCATCTGCCAACATTAGACATTTGCTATTTAGAAAAAAAGAAGTCGTTAAGGAAGATATTAAAAAGAAGTGGAGAAGAGTGGCCTTTTAAAGAACTCCAGATGTTCCTGAGATACTGTCAGACAGATGACAACCTATCTTGACTCTTTGACTTCTCCCAGATGTAGAGTTTTTAATCCGTTCAAAAAACCTGACACGAAAGCCTACATTAATTAATTTGCCCAAAAGTATGTGGTGATCTACACGATCAAATGCTTTGGAAAAATCTGTGTATATTGCATCTACCTGTTTACAATCTTCTATATGAGATAATGTATCAGATTTAGCAAACCAAGTTTGTTGCCGTGGATTTTTTGCTATGAAAACCATGTTGTGTTTGAGATATCACATCTCGATCTTAAATATATTTAATTTTTTGGTAGCTTAATTTTTATGTTAATGACATGGAATATAAAGCCACCTTTATCTTAGTATGTTAGCCTACAGATAGTTATAGTACAATGACCGCTACCGCTAGAATCCAGTATATTCGATCACGCGAATTCAATAAGAAGTTACCGCCTATCAGCGCCGAATCATCCGGAACCTTGCAACATCAATTGCGACGAATTAGAACAGCAAATTCAGCAAGTGGAATTATTATAAATAAAGCATTGTAAAATCTCCTTTTTTCAGTCTGACAGTCATAACATTAGTGTGATATTAATATGATATATTTGTAATTGAAGATGTGAATAATATATCTTGAATTGTAAACTAAAATCTTTGCTAGTGTAAATAGAAGTTTATTTTTAGTGTTTGTGCTTTTTAAAAAAGTGTTTTTCAAAATAACATTCATAATTAGCGTCTTCAATGGGCAGGCCATGTACATAGGATTGAAGAAAACAGGCTCCCCAAAAAACTGTTGAATGTAAGAATGCAGGGAAGTTGACTGATTGGAAGACTGAGAAAGCGATGGGAGGAAGATGTGAATAAGGACGCCAGAAATGTTCTTGGCAGTCGATCGTGGAGGAAATGGTTACAGACCGTAACGGATGGAGATGTTTGATGAAGAAGGCCAGGGCTCGAATTGGGCTACACAGTCATAGGATGGACGGATGGAATGAGAGGCAGGCCAAGATCTAGATTCAAAACTCAAGTCGAAGATGACTTGAGGAATCTAGGGGTCAGAAACTGGAATGCAAGGGTGAACGATAGGGGGGAGTGGAGACTAATTTTTGAACAGGCCTAGACCCACCCAGGGTTGTAGAGTCAAAGATGATGATGATTATATCAAATCATATTTTTTGAAATTGGATCATGTGCATATATCTTGATTAACACAGCTTTTGTAGGTTTAATATTGAATAGAGACTTTGATTTGACTTTGACTATATAGTAGGTAAATACTTACTGTCAGCAATCCAGGAATAGTGTCACACTTGAGGATATCGTCAAAATTAAAGGAATGATCATTGACCAACGCGTTGACTCTGCTTTCTTCATCAGTCTTATCAATGTCAACTTTATTGTCCTTCTCCTCATTCCGTACACTTTCGGAATGTTTTTCATTTGTCTCCTTTTGATTCCCGACCTGCGGGACAGATCCTCCTTTGGGTTCGGATAATGTAACTTCGGGTTCTTTTTTATCATCATTTTTAAGCTGCGGTGGAGCAGGTTCGACCTTCTTCTTAGGTTCTTTTATGCGTTTTAAATTCGAGGGGCTCAATTTTTTTCTGATAGGCTTGTCATCGTCGAAACCTCGCAGTTCTATCGTGTCGTTTTGAGATAGTGGACCGCCAGAAAACCTAAAACAATATGATTTCCTCTTAAAATATACAAACTTATTAAAATATACCCCATCCCCTGCGTGGTTTTTTTTTTCTATAGTATTCATAGATAGATTCTCTTCATTTATAAATTAAATACGCCAAACATTTGTAATGATTCCGTAACACCCAATTGTTAAATTAGACCAAAAGTACCATATGTCACAAACTTCTTGTATACCTTACATATTGTTACGATAATTCTGACCCAAAACCGTAAACATATTTATTACTAATATTCTCATTCATTCACGAATTTTCTAGGTATTACCTACCTGACAGACGATGGGTTCCTCTCCGCTATAAAAACAACAATCGAGCTTTCTGGAGACGAGCCGATGTAAAAATACCAGTTTTTAGACCATTCGCCGCTCTGTCTACGTCGAGAATGCCATCGAACCTTCAACGATTTACATTGGACGAAATCAGTCAAAAGAAGCTCGTGATCGCGTTTTAATGTAACGCACGTACAGATAAGAACAATAGAATAATAGATACATTAAAGATACAAAAAGAAAAGAAAAGAAAAGAAAAAAGAAATAAAAAGATAAATTAAAATAAGAACAATAAATTAGAATTAATAAAGACTTTACAATATAAAAACTGCTGAAGATTAACTGTGCATGGTACCCCTCAAACTACGATTTTTCGTCACAAACTGAATGAAGAATTTAAAAATAATTGTTGATTTGAAATATTTCAGTGGCGTTCATGTTTTTCATTAAATAAATTGAGACCATTGTTCTTATGCGTACCAATGATGAATATAAATTTTTTAATTATATTGCAAAAACGAGTAATAACTACTTCGTAAAACCCACCAAATATCATTTGCGTTTCTCAACCAGTTTCAGACCAATAAAAAATCGTCAGTTTGTAAGTGCATCTTGGAAAACGAAGCATTTGCAGACATACGTTTGTATAGCTAACTGTCATTATTTTTTCATGTAGCATCACTTCCTGAAGAATGTTTACTTATTTAGTAACATCCTATATATTATATAAATACGTATTATTCAAATGGACTAAAATAGACACTTTGAACTTCTGTAACTCAGAAACAATTGAGTCTTGGGACATCAAGAAATTTTTTATTAGCATGACCAAAGCTACCTCTCTGCAAGGATTCAGAAAATTTAATTGCAACCACTTTCACATTAGAAAAATTTCGGGGTTCTTTGTCATGGACAAAGATGACCGAATTATCCTTGTAACCCAGAACATGATGTATGTCTTTGCTGAGTCTAGCATTCAACCGATCCCTAAACAGATTGCACACGAGAGGAGATAATACTCCCCTGACGACAGTCTCTAGCTAATTTGGGTTATGAAATAAACTTGAAATTAGTGCACACTATCAAGTATCAAGATACTAAGTTAATCTTTTGTAGCTCATAAGTTTTATAAAAGAAAAGACGAAGGGAAAGGACTGTAAAATAAAATAATAATTGGGAGATTTGTTAAATACTACCCTAAAACTTAAATAAAACTTTAGAAGTGCTAATACATCAGAGGATAAGTTTAGCAGATGAACAACAGAGTTTTCGTAGTGGAAGATTGCATACAGATGCAATATTCGTTATAAGCAAACTACTGAGAAATCACTAGAGTATAATGGATTAGTATTTTTGTGTCTAATTGACCTAAAGAAAGCGTTTGATAGAATAATAATAATAAAACAACAAAATGGAAGTCAGAATAGATGGAAAACTTACAGAACCTATGGAAATAGGCAGCGGAATACGACAAGGGGACTCATTGAGCGCCATGCTCTTCAATTTGATCATTGTGTAATATAGAAATTGATGGCATCAGTATTGAACAAGTACTGAAAATAAAATACTTGGGAATTACATTGACCAGCCTTGGAGACCTGGACAAAGAAGTGAGAGATCAAGTACAAAAAGCAAATAGACTGGTAGGATGCCTTACTAACACTATATGGCGAAACAGACACATTAACGCTGAGATGAAGTCAAGAATTTATACAGCCAGTGTAAGACCAATAATGACATATGCCTCAGAAACAAGACCCGACACATCCACAACGCAAAGGCTACTGGGAAGAATAATCACATAAGCAGAATGGAGGAGACCCGTGTCGTCAAAATAGCAAGAGATAAGTCACCAATCTACAGAAGAAGTATCGGACGACCGCGCAAAAGATGGGGTGACAACCTTCCATAGAGGTATTAATCCGCTAATGAACACGCAAAATGGATTATAAAGAATAGAAGAAGAAGTAGAATTGGGAGATTTATAGTAAGTAATAAGGTAGTAGTCCTATGTAACTTGACATGATGTGCATCGCTAGGTATCGCCATCCGCTTACCTCCGCTTCGTACGCATGCACTCCCATGACTAAGTTCCACTTCCATCGATGCGTACTGGAGGAGATAAAAGGTCGGCAACGATATAAAACAACGTACGCCGAAAGAGAGAATTGAATGTTGACCAAAGGCAAGCACTCTGTTATAACCGGAGTTATATCAGAGTGTTGATGTGGAAACAACTCCACTGGTCCACCGCTGCTGCTAGAGTACTGATCTAGTGGCAGCTCCGACCCAGTCTGAGAGTGTCGATCTGAGACGTAACCATTCCGTGACTAAGTGTTGATTAGTCACTTCCCGCTCCCTGCCGGATCGAGTGTTGATCGATCCGCCCACCTCTAATCCCGATCATTCCTTCCCTTTAACGAGCGTGTGTATTAATAATTCGTATTTTCGTTTCGATTTGTATGATATTAAGTGCAATTATTTTTGCAGGTATAAACAGTGGGTCATAACGCCGTCTATAAGGTCCTCGCCGGGATTGCCATTTTAATTTTTATTGTACATATTGCCTAGGATAGTTCTCTAAAAGAGCTACCCGTCACAAACTACAACTGCATCTTACCTACTACTAGATAAAATTCCCTTCCTCTGCATGGTATACATAATAAAGAATATATATATATATATATATTATATATATATATATATATATATATATATAATATAAATATAAACTTACCATTCCGGTTCCTCCTGCTCCCTATTTTCAGAAATCCTCCTACGGTCAAACCCTTTATTCATTCTTCTCGTCTCCTTATTGTTGTTCTCTCTGTCCCTTGTCATTTCAAAGTCCCTACCGAAGCTTCTCCTTTCGTACTTATCCCCAAATTTGTCATCACGATCGTTGTTATTGTTGCGTTGTTGACTTCTGTAACTGTACTCGTTGTCTCCCGAATCGAGTTTATCATTAAAATCGCAGAAATCACGAAGAATCCTACCACTACCGATCCGTCTGGTACTGGTCTGAATCTCTCTTATACCTATAACATAAAAACAAACATGTAATTAAAAATACGGCACATTATGTTTGTTTGGGAAAGTATTTCCCAATCGCTTATTTCAGAAACAACCTAAGTCAGATTTTGGCGATTTTGAGTTTATAACACCAACATGTATTTCTGTGAGTTACACACAATTTAAGGCAGAAAACACCACAAAGTCCCGTAAGCATAGTTGAATTTATATCGATTTAAAATATTGATATATTTCTGAAACCACCTTACTCCCGGACTAAGGTTGTTTCTGCACTAAATTGTCAGTTGCCACTTTGCATATCGACGTTTACCATAACCTATAAAATTCATAGTGTTTCTATTGTTGTTCTTATTACTGCTTATAAAAAGTTGTCCGTATATTGGAAGAAAAACATTCATATTTTAATATTATTACGAACGACGATCAACCAACCGCCAGTGCTAAGCGTCAGGGAATTAGGAAATCGAATGAATATCAGCGTAATGTTATCAGAAACTCTACAGTTAAAGGTCAAACATATATTACCTACAAAAATAAGGCCATGGAAACAAAGCAAATAGGACCTCAGTGCAAATAAGACAATAAAAATATAATATTTTTGAGTTTGTAAAATATATTTTTTAGGTGTCTACTCAAATGTTTTGAAAAAGTGAACGAAGATCACAGAAACATTAGTTTTGGTAACTTTTACGGTATGACAACAAAAAACGAACAGGATAATATCTGCAAGGATTAATAGAAGTAATGGAGGTGTCTAGAAGAAGAAAACGTAATGAAGAAGGTAGAAATAGGACACGTTACAAGCTCTTTGTTAATGTTGATCAGATTAAAAAAAATATCCGAAGGTACTTTTTTAAGTATTCATGCCATTGGAAGAGAAAGATTAAAGATAATTAAAAGACTTGTAGTATGTGGTGTGATGTGGTACAGATAAAAAAGAAAAATATAAAAGGGAACATTATTGATGCTGGAACTAGAGAATTTATCCGTAGCCACATAACTACATTTCCAGTTAAAAAGTCTCATTACTCTGGTAAGGAATTTAAGAACTTAGGTGCGAAGCTTAATATAAAAATAATGCACGAATTATTTATTAAAAAGTATCCTGGAGTACAGTAAAATACAGTTACTACAATAAATTTTTCATGAAAATTTTAACCTACATTTTGGTAGGCCACAAATTGACACATGCGATGTCTGTGAAGAGTTTAATTTAAAAATTAAAAGCCTTAGTCTTGGTGAAGCTGCAAAAAAGTAGCGGTTGCCGAAAAAGTCGTACACTGCCGCCGAAGTAAAAAATTTTACACTGCCCTATATGATCAAGTTGAGGAATGCATTCAAAGAGATAATGTAGAAGCAAGCGCCTTCGACTTTATGCAGAATCTTCAACTTCCTGCAATTCCTGTACAAGACCTATTTTATGTGTCGCAGCTTACCGTTAATGTTTTTTGCATCACCAATATTAAGTCACGAAAATCCCTTCTTTATATTTACCACAAAGCAGAAGCACGAAAAAGTCCAAATGAAGTCTACAACTTTCTATTAGATTATATTGAAAAATGTATTGGAACAGATGTAAAAGAACTACGCCTATTTTCTGACAACTGCCAGGTCAAAACAAAAACCACTGCGTTACAAAAATGTGTTGGGCTTTAACCGATACAGGCATATTGTGACCGTATTTTTGGGGTTATTAAAAGAAACCTCAGAAAATTTGACGAAGTTTATGACATCCATAAGTACACGGAGATCATTGTTAACGCAGGACACAATGCTCGACTGAAGAATAAAAGATAGAACCACAAAATACAACAATAGAGACCATTGTTAGGAAAGAGAAGCAGAAGAAGACCACAAATGAGATGGGCTGATGACATTGAGAAGATTGGAGGACAACTGGAAGCAAGTGGCGCAAAATAGAAAGCGCTGGATTGATTTGGGAGAGACCTATGTCCAAAGTTTGGTTACTTAAGACTGAAGAAAAAGAAGAAATAATTAATTGGACCAATAAATAAAAGTTTTAAGGTAATAGTGTATATAAAATGAATCGTAAATTTAATTTAACGTAATAATAATACATAAAAACATTTTTGCTTCCGACTTACCACCCATATGAGGACCATCATTCTTCGGTCCCAGAGGGCTATGAGATCGGTTGTTACGTGTAGTATCTCCACGGACTGGTACGAAGCATCCAGAGTTGAAACTTCGACGCTGAGGTGACAAGACGATACCGTCACTTTCTTTTCTGATTCGTTCTCTAGGATCTCCAGGTCTTCGCCTATGTTCTGAAGGTCCATCGCCGCTAGAACGCGGCCCATTTTCGATGGGAGTGTCGGATTTTTTACGCTCGAATCCCCATCGTTCGGGGTCCCAAATTGAGGCGGTACTGAAATAAAGAAATAACTGGGTAAACATTTATTCTATAATCAATATTATAATTTGCTTAGTTTGTCTGTCTCTCCGTAACAAAAACCCCAGCGCCACCTATCCACAAAAACTAAGGGAAGGTGAGGGAATATTGACTACTTAAGACAAAACTGTTATAGACTGTTTGCTATAGCTTTTACGAATTTGTAACATTTAGTTTATCCAGTTAACCAATTGCTGCTTCAAAAATAATATAAAATAATTACAAAAATATTTTAAAAATACATATTTTTGAAACCCAAAAAGTCGGGTAATAATGATCAATCGAGTAATATCGACAATGGGATGAGATTGGTTAAAGTCCGAATTCATAACACTACCAAAAAAAAACAACGTCCGAAAAACTGTAGCGATTATAGAATGATAAGCCTTGTGAGCCATACTTTGAAAATATTTCTACGCATCATCCACAGTAGAATCAGAGATAAATGTGAAGAAGATCAAGATGGGACACAATTTTGCTTCAGAAATGAACTGGGAACTCGGGACGCCCTCTTTGCACTAAATGTATTACTGCAGAAATGTCGAGATCAAAGGAAATACGTCTTTGCTGTATTTATTGACTATGAAAAGGCCTTTGATCGAGTACAGCATCACAAATTAATTACAATATTAAAAGATAAAGGAGTTGATAGTCAAGACATACGATTCATAGAAAAGTTATACTGGCGCCAGACAGCGACAGCTTGCATAAACGGAAAATCAACAGAAGTATGTAAAATACAAAGAGGTGTCAGACAGGGTTGTATACGATCCCCACTGTTATTTAATTTATATTCAGATAGAATATTTAAAGAAGCGCTGCATAATTTGGAATGGGGCGTGAAAGTTAATGGAATTCTGATAAATACAATCAGACATGCAGACGATACAGTTATTTTAAGTGATGACATGAATGGATTACAATGCCTTTTAAATGCCATTGATACAGTGGGAAGAGAGTTTGGCCTAAACATGAACTGTTCAAAAACAAAACACATGGTGTTTAGCCGTTTAGCACATCAAGATGTACGATTATATGTTGATGGTCATATAATTCAAAGAGTGTCCAGTTTTAAATATATTGGTTGCCATATTACTGAACAACTAGATCCAGATCAAGAGATAAAATGTAGAATCGAGATATCCCGCACGACATTTTTAAAAATGAGGTCATTCTTCTGTAATGATAACTTGAAACTTCAACTTCGAAAGCGTATAGTTAAATGCTACATTTGGTCAGTCCTCTTATAAGGTGTCGAAGCATGGACATTAAAAATATCCACCATTAATCGTCTGGAGGCCTTTGAAATGTGGCTGCACAGACGTATACTAAAAATTCCATGGACGGCTATGCTGACAAATGTGGCAGTCCTTGAGAGAGCAAATGCTGCTCGCGAGCTGCTTGTTAACATCAAATGTAGAAAGATGGCCTATTTTGGACACGTAGTAAGGGGAGACCGATATAATATTCTTCAACTTATTATGATGGGTAAAATCGAAGGACGCAGAGGAATTGGTAGAAAGCAGGCCTCTTGGTTGAAGAATATCAGAGAGTGAGCAGGAATAAAGAAAGCTGAGCAACTCTTTAGAATAGCTCGAGACAGAGACAGTTTCGCCATGTTAATCGCCAACGTCAAGGGGACTTGATAGGGCACGTTAAGAAGAAGAATGAGATGGGTAATATCGATCAAGGATGGGAATATCGATCACATATGGACAAGTTCAAAGGTTAAGTTTACTTAGGTTTAAGTATACAATACATATTTCTTTAGTTACATTTACAGTTTGAGCGAATATAAAGAGTAGCAGTATCCGCTTCCGCGCAGTTTACATGAGCCCAGAGACCACAGAGACGACATCACCACCATAATTCATTTGATCCAAACTCCGAACATACTGCACATAGTTCGCTTTCTCGTGTTTGGTGTGATTTACTCCATAAGTTTTCTTCTTGACTAATTTTTCTGTTTTTATCGTAGTAGCTCCAATTGTTCATTTAACATTCTCAACCTCATTCTTCTTTTGTTTTTTTTTGTTCCCTGTTTCCTAATTTGGTGTTGATGTTAAAATGGTCGAGTGTTGAGTTCACCTGCTTCTAGTTTTTGTATAACTACTGACTGGTAGTGCAAGTAGAGGGCATAGTTCACTGAAAGATACACGAGATAAGCTATTTTTTTAGCTGCACAAATTTATCTTTATCTTCGCTCAGATCAATGTCTGAAACTTCCTCTAATTCTGATTAAGATAAAGAATCTTCTGATGATGGTGCTGCTTTTGGTATCAGTTTTTTTATTTTGGACTCCACTGGGCCCTGGTAGTTCATCTAGGGGAACTGGTGTTGGCGATAGTGTTTGATGTGTATAAGGCAGAGAAGACATATTATCTTGATATTGTTTAACTACTGGTATAGATAATAATTCTTCTTCACAAAAACATGGTGATTGAAAACCATTTACAGCCTTTTCAACAGACGCAGCCCTATTCAAAGCATTTTTAACAAGTTCCACAACGTCTGTTGTATCGATTTTCTCATATTTATTTTGTTTTATATACTTGTCACATTCTTGGTAGTAAGCTATCTTGAATGGAGAAAGAACGTGATATCTAGAGGCTGGAGACGGTGGGAGGTATACGGTGGCAGTGAAAGGAGATTTATTCCGGTGTCGCGACAAAAACTGTAGGAAGCTAGACTTGAATGCGTTGTATGGTTATCTAGCACTGGATGGTCTTTAAAAGCATTAACATGCCGCTGAAAATGTTTCAACTATTTAAAGAGAAGTTGTTCCGTTATCCACCCTGATTTGGAACATCTGTGTATTGCCCCAATAGGACCGTTTTTGTCCAAACGTTTTTTCTTCCGATTTCTTCTATAAATAAATATAGGTGGAATATATTGACCTGAGGCACTGAAAGCGCATACTAGCGTCGTGGTTTGTCCTCGTTCACCACTGGTAATTGCACCAACTTGTTTCTGGCCTTTGGCAGCAATAATTTTACAGGGAATACGAACATTACTGATACTCGTCTCATTAACATTAAAAATTTGATGACATTCAAATTTTTAAGGATCACATAGAGTTGACAAGATTTTGTAAAATATTTTTAGTTCTTCACGATTAAAAGTAATTCTACTCAAAATTGTTGCTTCTGGTTTACGCAAACTGAGTTCTGGATGACGGTGCATAAACGAATAAAACCAGACTTTTCCACACATTTTCGTTGGCATTTTAAATGGATGTTTAATTTTGTTTTGCTCTGCATATTCAAAAACCATTTGAAGTATGGTACGGGATGTACCAAAAACGCCTTCGACAGTTCTAAAATTCTAAATACAAATTCGGATTCCTCTTCCTTGGTAAAGACAGCTTTTCGTCCTAGTGTAATTATTTTTAATCGGTCTTACAATGTTCCATAACAATGTATAACTTGGATGCTCCTCTTGTTGAAAGTATTTTGTCAGCTATATCGCTGAGGGCTCTTTCCATCGCCCCTTCGCCCCACGAAGACCGTGTTGTTTTTCTTAGATATGTTCGTGGCATCTGAAATAAATAACATCACCTGGGACCTATAACTTTTTTAGAGAACACTTATAGAATAGTATTGATTCTATTTTTAAAAATTTTGTCATAAGGGCTACTGGTGCCCTGAGGGTATTTAATTATGACCTAAACATGTAATGCTAATAGGTCAGTGTCCGTGACTTTCTCCTTCATGTCACTTGAAAATTTGTTAGTTTTCATGATAAGAAACCTAAAAAGTCGTGAAAACCAGAAATTTTGCCTTGGAAAAGTTGCGCAAAATAATAAAAATTCGATTTTCAAAAAAACACCTTTTCTTTTTGCTTCTCATTTGACACTTTCGGTAAAGGGCACTTTTTGTGCACCAGTATTTTATATGGAATACATAAAATTTGATTAAAATCTTCTGGTAACATTTTGGGTGTTTTTTTAGCACTTAGTGTTTTTAATTTATTTACATTAAATTAATGAAATCAGTATTTAGTATTTTTTCTATTTTTAACATTCATATCTTATCATAGATTTATCTATCCAACTTTTGCCCACTTATGTTATCTTGCTTAGTTGTAGATTATACATATAAACAATGACAAATACAAAATATAATTTTTTATTGTATATTCTTCTATTAGATATATTTCGTAAGTGCTGTAAATCCTTGCGAAATTTTTTGATAAATCTTCTTATCTCTAATGTATATGTTGTTCCTATCTATTGGCATCTATCTCTGGTTTTTATTTTTATTGTGGATTTGTAAATTCTTTTATCTTTTTAATTACACTTATAGATTCAACGATAGTTTCTCATAAATATTGGAATAACATCTCAAAATCTTGGAAGAAAAATATTTTAGTGTATCTTGGAATATAATAAACATCCAATTGGTTAGGTAAAGAAATAATAAATAAGACTTACTCACAATCAATTTAATTTAACTATTCAGACGACCGCTTTCGCTTTCTACAATATGCAAAGCATCTTCAGGTCTCGATACAAAGTTAAATAAATGATGCCGATACTATATTAATTGATGGATGGTGAAACATGGTTGAAACTATCATGTATTGTTGAATGGAGAACTTAAGTCTGCTATTGTAGTTGTTTGACAGTAAACGGGAAGTTCTTGAGGAGATAGATTTGATCCAATGAAGTAGAAATAGGTGTGTGATTGTTTGTTAAATGAAAGTGATGTTATATACCATTGTATTATTTAAAAGTTATTTATACTTATTCAAGAGATATATTTATGAAATGTGTGTTATTTATTGAGTATTTGTTTTACGAAGGTGACAGTTTTATGACAATGAATAAGCTTAGATGTACAAATTGTGTGGGTGTGCAATTCTTTCAACTTGTAATTATCAAATTTCTTTGATAAAGTTCTATTGGCAAAATGGTAGATTATTGCAAAGTCGAGTATATAAAATATTAAAGTTAAAACAATAAAGGACAATTTAAA